TTCTTTACGGTGACCATCATTTGATTAGATTTTCATTAATATTTTACATAACATGCACATTTTATCAACACTTAGACAGCTTCTGAAAGGTACAACTTTGAGGAGCCATAAAAAACAAACCAATTGACCTAAATCTTTATCCTTTATAGATTTGTGACCACAACGGCATGGGCAATGCACCACCAACAGGAAATTTTAATCAGAGAAGGGGCCGTTTTGGAAACCGGCCCTTTAATCGAGTTTACATGTTTCGTCCCACTAGGTGGGCCGTCATCAGAACAATCAATGATTTGTTCCTTAGTTTAGAAAATGGATGGCACCTGTTTTGAATAATTTGGGGAAATATATTACACAGTGTCTTGCATTATTTATTACTTATAAATATCCTTTTTTTTTTAAGTTTGACTAATGTTAAGTATAACAGTACCGAGTTTTGCTGTGGTGGTAAACCAAGTTTGTTATAGAGCCATAATCTGATATGATTGATTGCATCCTTACAGTCAAACAACATGAACCATTTAAACTAATTATAATTAATTACACATGTAAGAGTGCATATTATCAAAATGTTAACTCAGGCACTGCACAGTTGCGAAAGGGAGTACGGAAAATAAATATATCGGTCCATTGGTTAACTGTCGTTTTTTTATGGAAATGGGTATGTCATGCTTTCTGCAATGTCTTTATGTCTGGAAATATCAGGTTTATCTGAATATGTCCTGTTTGAAAAGAAAGATTTTGTCTAGAAATGTCCTGTAGGTCTGTATATAATGCCCTGTTAGTGTGGATATTATTCTATATATAATAGATGTATTTTATGTTTCAGATCTTTACCACAGAATCCTTAGATTTAAAAATTACATGATTGCCATGGTGAACAAGTCATTACTACCAGTCAAATTCAAGGTGCCTTTCGTAGGGGACTAGTAAGTATATATATCAATATTTATCTTAGTATTACTAGAAGCCAGCATATTTTTAACTGTTAGAAGTGTACACATTTTTTACCCACCTTTTGCTCATGACTATCAATCCATCAGATTAAACAAATGAAGATATTACGGTAGCTAGCTATAGCACCAGGATCCCTCTGGTATCTCTCATTTGCATGAGACCTCATCAGATAGACCTGTACATACCTGACAAATTTCATTATGATAGAGAAGATTTTTTTCTGTCTCCATCGCATTGGAGTTTTCTCTGATAAGCAAGAATGTACTACAAACTTTGACTAACTCATCATATCTCTGATTTTCCATTGCTTGTTGAAACAGAGAAATCTCCAATCAGTAAGTTAGTTAAAGATCTGTTCATTGTGATAGAATATTATTGAATTAATTCAGTTATTCATATAGCAGGTGTTTTTGGACCCTGTATAACTGCCTTTTAATTTAATAAGATTTGGAGCAAGACATATGTTAAATCATCATTTCTTCATTGCTTTATAATGTATTCCCAAAGTGTATGGTCTTAGAATTTGGTATACAAACCAAGACTTGTTAATGCATGTACTGTATGTTAAGAAACTTTGTCCTCCAGTTATAAAATCTACATTCACTCAGTATTAATTATGCTCTTTACATTGTATTCCCAATGTATGCCATACTGTGTCCCAATATTTGCAGATTTAATAAGCTCGCACTAATTAATTTCAGAGAGTGAAAAGGGAGATATTTGAACTGCCGCAAATATCTACTGGTATAGAGTTATAAGACTATTCCATTAAAATATGGAGGGAATGGAGGTGCCTTTTGTTACCTCTATCACACAGAATTGTTTTGTTCTTCTGTTCCTCACTAGATTTTCTTACAAATATTTTAGACCCCACCATGCATATTAAAGATATTACATTAAAAGGATGTTTTCTTTTTTTGCAGTGCTTTTCTAAGTACAGGACTGAAATACAATTTAGAGCTAATACTGTTTTGTAAGTATTGTTTTTGTGCGTCTTGATATTTGTGATATAATCTTTTCCTGTTAATAATGTAAGAATAAAGTTATGTATGCTGACAATTACCTCCAACATTTAAACTTTAAATGACATCAATTAAAGGTGTAACCGACACTTATCATTACAAGAGTATCAACGAAAACACTTCCTGTTACACATTTCATACAGGTGTTCACATGCATTATATTCATTGTTTATTACAGGGGGACCATGGTCACCATTTGAAAATAATTGGAAATTAAAAGAAGATTTTAGACAAAGTCATCGGAGGAAACATTTAGCAGAAATGTAAGTAAATGTAGTGTTTACGTTGACACTGCTGCAAAATCAAGTTCAAGCAAAACAAAAGTATAGACCTGAAAGACCTCGAAGTGTTTCAAAGATATGTCTATCATTCCTTATTCACGTCAACATTATTTCTGTGCTCCACTTTTTTAAAGAGTAACTCTATCACTGAATTCAGTGACAAATTTAAATTGAGCATCATCTTTTTACCTGCATTTGCAAAAATTCATTGCATACAAATGATCTGATACCAAATCTGCAGTCATTTCATTTTATAAGAATAATTTTTCAAGTATTCACACATTTTATTAAATTGAAAAAAGAAATGATGAGCAACAACACCACTGAATCCTGTACAAAATGTAGTGTTTGATTTACATCCTACGTTTAATTTTATTAAATTAAATAAGTTATTAATTTATATCAAATTGACTTGCATGCCAAAACTCTATTCATGGTACGTCTGCTGTAATTATCTTAGCATGCATTGTTTATGTGTTTTAAAGTGTTACTCTGTTATACCTGTATTGATACAAACATCATTTTCAAAGTTAACATAAGATTTCATATTCACAATTTGATACAAAACACAAAGAAATCCCAGTGGTTTAAACATTTGCCTTATGTTACAGTACCCTAATAATACAAAATTAAAGTGATTCAATCATTGAGAAACTCAAGACATTTCCTTTTAATGTATAAGGTTTGGGAGCGGGTTTGAGACCAAGCATGCCTGTAATAATTGTCACTGCTCTTTCTGTCTCTCTTTGCAGGTTATCCAAAAGGATTTTGTGGATAGGTATAGCAAATCTAGTACTGAGTCCTCTCATCTTTCTCTGGCAAATACTCTACTCCTTCTTCAGATATGCCGAGGTAGTTATATTAACCTTCAGATATATACATAAATAAGATTTCAAGAATTGAAACATTCAATTTAAATCGTTATTAACCGGTACCCTTAACATATTTAAAAACCCAATCAGGGAGATATCTTTATGTAATATTTTGTGAAATTAAATGTTGCTTAAATAAAAACAAATGTAAGCTACCTAATATAAATATCTCAAACCGTCACGACTTCAGTTTGACCACGGTGCCAGAAATAAATGATAATTTCATTCTATTTTCCAGCTGATCAAAAGACAACCTGGTATATTAGGAGCAAGGAGATGGTAAGCGGTAGTCTAGTCATTGTGTTACCAAGTCCAGTCTGTTGAAATGAAAACAGAAGATGCTATCATCAGTTTATATAAAGTATCGAAACATTTAAAAACATGTAACAGTAACATTCTTAACAATGATTTGATATTATCATTATATTGTATTTGTTTCTTTTGAATTATTAAAGAAAAAACATTGATTGTATTTTACCAGTATATGTATTATAACCACATGTAATTTGTATTGTCTGTGTGACAGTGTGTACATAATGTGTTACTTTCAGGTCGAATTATTCCCGGTTGTACTTACGACATTTCAATGAGCTGGACCATGAATACAATGCAAGGTCAGTAAATTGTTACTTGATCAATCAGTTCTCAGCCTATTACTACCTATGTACAGATGTACCAGCACTATGACACTTCCTAAATCTGGTCACTTGTTAACAAGCCATGAGATCACAGATATTAGACTGGTTCATACTATTACCTATGTACAGATGTACCAGCAATATGACACTTCCTAAATCTGGTCACTTGTTAACAAGCCATGAGATCACAGATATTAGACTGGTTCATACTAAACTACTGTAAAAATACTAAGTTGTACATGTATAGCTATGTTGGCTCTGATTCAATTTTGCATTGAAAACAAGACAAACCTGGAAGTTAGTCAGCCTGAAATTTCTTGCTCAGAAGGAATCTTTGATTGTATTTTTTGTATATTTTACAGTCAAAATTTATGAATGATGACAACTTTGTTTATGATTACATTTCAGATTAAACAGAGGATACCCTGCTGCAAATATGTACATGAATATTTTTACTTCTCGAATAACCATTATTATGGCCAAGTAAGTGCAGTTTTATCCGATTTTTTTTGGGGGGGGGGGAAATTTCGTATCTATATTTCACTTATTTGAAGTTGATCTCAGACTTTAATGATTTATTTTGTCAAATGTTGACTCATTCTATTGTAATTTCCATCATAATATAACCACAAGCAATAATTACTGATTGGATAGCTCAAAGCGTAAAAATAAATTCTGATACTACAAAGATCAGATGATATTTGGTTCATAGCATTTCTAGTTACCAGAAATTACTTTTGTCGTAGGTTTTCGAGGATTGTATTGACAGATTTTTGTCACAGAAATGTAGCTTTCTTTGCTGGCTCCTTACTTGCTGTCCAGGTGGTTTCTCTGTATGATGATGATTGTTTTGATTTTGTCACAGAAATGTAGCTTTCTTTGCGGGCTCCTTACTTGCTGTTCTGGTGGTTCTCTCCGTATATGACGAGGATGTCCTCAGCGTGGAGCACATTCTCACCACCATCTCACTGGCAGGTCAGCAGTCGAATGCACTTAATCTATTTTACTGTTTACAAACTGTAAAATATACTTTATTATATGATCAGTAGCGAATATAGAAATATAAAACTGTAACCATGAAATTAAGACTTTGTATACTGGCCTGAAATTAGCTGAAATAAATCATTTCTGAAAAGAAACCCAGACCTTGGAGAACTGTTTTGAAAAATTGATAAAAGATGAAATAAAATAAAATTATCGACAAAAATGTCGATTTCTGAGAGTAAAAAATACAATATGGCCAGTCAGGGATTTAAATTCTGGACATCTGATCGCAAAAAGGTCCCTAGGCCTGTAACCAACTGAGCTACACGGTCAACTGTAGTCACCTGGCTCCGTCCCATTACAGTATAGCCAAAACAAAATTAAGGGGAGGTTACCCTATGTATGCAAAATATATTGAAATTCTCTAGTATTTTGCCTGCAGTGCTGTGGGATGTGGATTCTTAAGATTATCATTCAAATACCAAGTAAAAATGGGTTTTTTGCATTGTGAGATATTGAAAGCATTTTGTTTACTTGTGTAAATACTTGGTAACTCTTTTCAGAATGTAAGTAATGAAAATGAATAAAAAAATACACCTTTAAATGTTGGTTGAACTTGAAGTGAGTGCCAATGTTGGTAATATTTGCACTACTTTTCATCTATAATATAAAAAAAAGAAATTTGAAGAAATTTGACCATTTTTGTTTTCCAATCAAGAATCTAAAGCAATAAAAGCAATAGGGCAGGTGATATTTGTAATGACCATAAAACTAGCAACCAGTACTGTCATCAAAGTGTGACCATCAAGGAATTGAATGTTGAATTGAATTGAAATTGAAATATGAATTATTTAACAGTTACCATTGAATACCATATATATTTCACTGGTATGGGTGATATGTCACAATTTTGGTATTCTGTTGCACCAGTGAAATACTTGAGTATATACTGTCAGGTGACCAGCAACCACAATTTTTGTTGTGTAATTTAACAAGTTACATTACCCTAACTGTTCTGCTTTACTTTGCTATACAAATATGTACCAGTAAGAGAAAGTAATCAACTTTCATTTGTATCACACCATGGAAACTTGGTTCAGCCCTGGTTCTATTAGTCACTAGGTTTGGAAAAACTTTACTTGCAACTTGTTACTTAAGTTTTCACATTATTTTGTTTTTTCCAGGTCTGGTTGTGACAGCATGTCGGGTTCTAATCCCAGACGAGGTAAGTCCTGCGTTATACAAGGAATAATATCCTCCAATTTACAAAGTTGTAAAATATTTATAATCAATATGCAGTTCTACCAGAAATAGTGAGACTAAACAGTTTTAAAGGGTAATGTCATGTCTTCTTGGTTAATAGATAGTAAATCTCTCGGAAGGTGACTTGCTAGTTTGATCATTTCAACGTAGATATCCATCAATGTATAAACTCTACATATCTTCTTGTGTTCTGTAAGGGTGATTTCACTCAGAACAGTGTAATCAACCAGGATCTGTCCTCATCACAGGATTTACTGTAACATGGGATGGATTTAAGAACTTGTACCACTTTTTAGCTAGTTTAAGCAAAGAAAAAGAATTGTTCAATGTTCCTACTGTTCTTAACTTTCGGGATAACTAATAACATAGAGATAGATCCAAGGAAAAGCCAGTGTTTTCTCCTAACCTTCAACCTTCGTCGATGTTTATTTGTTTTCATCAAAACTAACCTTTTTCAGATATGTTCGAAAGGTTCAAAGCGTGTGTGTGCACACGAGCAAATGTGATCATTTCAGTTCAACAAGGTTTTCTCTTTCCACTGCCTTGTGTAATGTTGCGAGAGTTCTCCCTGTCTTATAATTGATTCCTTTTCCTTGTTCATGGTGTAATTTAATCTCCCTGATGATTTCTCCCTACCATATGGTACAATGTAACAATGTTTTTTCCCTACTGTATGGTACAATGTAACAATGATTTCTCCCTACCATATGGTTCAATGTAACAATGATTTCTCCCTACCATATGGTACAATGTAACAATGTTTTTTCTCTACTGTATGGTACAATGTAACAATGATTTCTCCCTACTGTATGGTACAATGTAACAATGATTTCGCCCTACCATATATGGTTCAATGTTACAATGATTTCTCCCTACCATATGGTTCAATGTAACAATGATCTCTCCCCAGCACATGGTATACTGCCCGGAAGTACTGATGAGGAACATTCTCTCCCACATTCACTACATCCCAGACTCCTGGAAGGGAAACGCCCACACCTACAAAGTCAGGGATGAGTTTGCAATCCTTTTTCAGTACAAACTGGTAAGTAGCCTATATGTTCCTATATTGTTTACCTGACATTTCAGAAAACTGGTATCATATGTTGCACCGAAGTGTCACTTGCAATTGCTGCTAAGGTCTTTTTCACAGGGTTCTAATTTTCACAAAATAATTCTTCGCATAAACGACAACCAATGAAATGATTAGGAAATTAATTCATCCTTACCATAATACACTGTGCCATTGTCACTCAAACTGAAATCGACCAAAAAAAGATCCTGCAAAAATGGACTCTTATTTTGCAAAAATCACAAAAATTATGGGGAGTATCAAAGACTTAAACAGCATCACAACTAAAGATGCTCACAGGAGAGGAACTGTTTTACCTGTCCATTGTGTTTAACACTAGACCAAAATGGAAATGTTTGCTGATCATTTGGTGGGTAACTATAAAATTTTCACTTGTCAGCAGAAATATACATGTGTTAATATAAGAATATTCATGTATTAATTAACATAAAAATACAATGATAAACGTTTTCTGGTCAGTAGGAAAAAAGGATAGAAGTGTGTCGGAAACAGACAAATGCTATTTTCATTCTGCCCACATGACTGACCATTGTGAAAAGATTCATGTAATACAACCAAAATGTGTTTATATGTGACGTTTCGATGACTAGTACGGTATGTACTCTGTCACCTTAATCAGACAAATGACCAGTGAAGCATGTGTACACAAAGGTGTTAAATATGTACGAGTTGTCCACGAAAAGTGATGTTGATTCAGCTACGCTATACATGTACATACGCTGGTCATTTGTCCACAATCCATACTTACCAACCTGAAGAAAATGTAAATGACTGACCATTGTTGCTTGATTGCAGTCCTACCTGCTGGAGGAGCTGGTCAGTCCATTGGTCACTCCATTCATCCTGTGTCTGTCCCTCAGACACAAGTCGCTGGAGATTGTGGACTTCTTCCGTAACTTCACAGTAACTGTGGTGGGAGTAGGGGATGTATGCTCCTTTGCTCAAATGGACGTGAGGAAACACGGACATCCAGAGGTGAGTGATCACTCTAATACAAGTTCAGATTCATGTTTTTAGCTGTCACTCAAACACAGGTACAAAGGTCAATCAGGATAATTGGTCATTTAAACAAAACATTAACAACCCTAAATACTTTCCTAAATTCGAAAGTTGTCTGACCAATCTCGGTCAGTTATTATCAAAGTTTTACTTTATGCACAAACAATGAATGTGTAAAATGTGTCGCAACGTTTCAAGACCAATTAGTCCCTTTGTCAAGCCATGACAACGCGCTAACATCCAGGCAGACAAGAATGATTTATATAAGTTGAAATGACTTGTTTCATAACTAATATTGTTGCAAAATTAAAAAAATTAAAAAAGAAGACAAACTTTTAATAATACCTATTTCAAAACTGATCAATCTTATGGAACAAACTAGATCAATATTGTATAGCAATGCAAGCGTCCATTTCAGAATGGAGATGAGTCTTATCAGTAGAGGATTGTTTAGAATTCTTAATTATGGTTGGTTTTAGTACAACAGTTACCATTAAAAAAATAGTAGAAAACCACGTTCCTGCATGTCACTGTTAGAATTAGGATGAAGAAACATAACTACATATGTTGCTTTTTGTCTCGCCGCCACCAAGTATATTGCCGTGTTCATGTTTTGCTTATATTTTAAGGATTTGATTAAAAAGGAATCAAAATCTCTGAAAAACATAAGCACTATACAGTATATATTCAGCTTTGTCTCAAAAGTGTGAGTTATTTCTTAATATTTAAATAGTCTACAAATCATTGGACATTTAATATTCTATGTTTTACACAGTGGGCCCACAAGGTGAAGACAGACACTAACCAACACAACCAGGCAGAGGATGGCAAGACGGAGTTGTCTCTCATGCACTTCCACGTAAGTATCGCGCAGCACAGAACAGCTACACTCCGTCAATACGTCAACACATACTACTGCCAGCATACACTTAAGCATTGAACTGCTTTCAGTTGGTATTCATAGGCAGTATGAATGCCAACTGGACAAAGGCAAATTCAACATTAAACCCAATAACCAAACCAGTCATTTTATCTATTTAAAGTTTGATATTCACATTATTCATAAATACAACCAAATAGCAGTGGCAAACAGAGTTGATATATATATCCCATAAAGTGATTGTTCACATCATTTATATGACATCCCATTAATCATTACTACTAAGAATTGCTGACAGATGGCTGTTTTGATACTTTATATTTACTGTAATTGTATTAAATTTGAATTTAAATGCTTCTATACATTAAAACTTAAAGATTTATGCTAATAAAAATGAAACTTATTTCCATCAGTAATATCTATTTTACTAAAGAGTTTGCTAGTGGGAGAGTTTGTGGTTTAATACCAGCCCATTCCTTAAATCTTTAAATGCAGGTTGTTATTTAGGGATGCTCCAGGGAGTTCTTTTCTGTAGTAGTTTTATGTTTGTGTTACAGCTAACAAACCCAGAGTGGAAGCCCCCAAACACAGGCGGTACTTTTATACAGACAGTTCGAGAGGAAGGTTAGTCACAACTGCAGTTTAATTTACTGACCATTATCTCTTTAAATTTTGAAAATTCAATACCCTTTAAGACCTGTTATTCCAGGTGAATATTTTGAGGATACATAACTGATTTTTGTGGATTATTTATTAGTAGATAACATTTTGTCCAGTATTCCTTTGTGTTTGTTGTGTCCCCTTTGTCGGCGCCATTGGTTGCGTCGTCCGAAACAAGGTTTCCGTGCGATAACTTCAGTTCCCTTGGGTTGATTGAAGTCAAACTAATGGTACACATATTGCATACCAATAAAGCTAGGACAAGGTCATTGGTCAGATAATGCAAGAACTTTTTTATTTTTTTAATCAATTCCTTTCAAATTTTGTATGGTAATGCTGCATAGAGGCAATAATGTTCAACATATATTATGGGGTTTTCTGTTAAGTTTCAACTTAAAACATGCATTTCACATTAGATATGGAAATAATGAAACAAGATGTATAATTTTTGGAGACAGTTGCTTGAAATAACTTTATCTCAGATGTTCTTATGATGATACAGCTTGCCAAACTATTTGTGTTAACAGTTTATAATGGCTGACGAGACAGGTGTACAAATGATGAAGTTAAACAATTTTGATGTGTTGAAATTGTCAGGAAATTTCAGCCTAAAATGTTGTTGTTGGGAACGAATTTCTATTCATTCAACTTTTGTTTTCAGCCCAAAAAGAGATGTCCTCCTTGGGTACCGCTCAGTCTGAAATGCCTGGTGTGATACAGGGCATGTTTAACTCTCACCTGCCGAGTCTGGGGCTGCTACCCAGCATGCTCAACCAAGGAATGGGGGTATGTTTAGTATATATAGAGGAAAGCATCAGTCAAATAATAATAATAATTTGAGGTTCAAATATACCGCTTTATCACAGCCTAGTTCGTAGGTCGTCTCAAAATGGTTCACAAATTATTATCCGTGGTTATAGGGCCTTTGCAAACAGCCAATATCTTTCTCAACTCCCTAGGAAGCATACACACCAGTGCTGCCATTTCGGCGCTCACAGCTAGCATTCTACAATTCTAGCACTGCCCAACCACATACTCATTTACAGCTAAGTTGACTGAAGCAAGCGGAGTAAAGTATCTTGCTCAAGGATACAAACAGTGCCATGCCGTGACTCAAACCCACAACCCTTCGGTCACGAGCCCGGCGTCCTATCACTTGACTACCGTGTCTCCACAATTACGATATAACTCTTATCGTAAGATAGTTTCACTATTTATAATGCAGTATAAATGTTAAGCCTTTTGGGGACAAATTATTGTTCAAGGGTGGAAATGTTCATATTCTGACAATTCATTCACTGTGCGAAATCCTTTATGGGACTGTTATTATAAGTAGAGTTTCTTTCACCAAGGACTTTAATATTTCACAGGATGACTACACCTGAAGAAAGAGAAATGTCGAAAGGTCAAAATGTTTCCTTACTCTTTATAGAATATCTATATTTTTCCTGCAACATGTTAAAACTGTACAGGATGACTACCAACAGAGGGACGAGGAACCCTAGTGATTTTCAGGTCAAAAGATCAAATATCAATGTTGCCATGACATGTTGTGCAAAAAGTGTTTCCTGGCTCAAAGTATCTGTCCATTTATCACCTTGAAACTTGAAAGATTGCTTCCAGCAGATTAACATATAGAAGAATATTGCCGCGGGGTTGATATTTTCACGATTTCGTGGATCAATAATGTGATTGGGAAAATATGAACCACAGAATAATATGACAAGCATAAAAATGAGCTGCGATAATGAACTTCATAAACGTAATGTTGTCGTGAAACATGTATGTGGTTGTGACGATCAAGATGCCTATTCCTTTGACTTTTTGACATTTTTTATGCCGAGTGTCCCATCTTTGTGCTAAGACACCATGAACATTTAGTTTGTCACATGTCTCCATCACGAAAAAATAATCAGTAAATTAATTTTCTAACTTTGGGTCAAAATTGCGAAAATTTAAGCCTGCACATGTAACCCACTATATAGTTAGTAAGAGGCGTTTGTTTGTAGATTCATCAGTAATACAGGTCTTCACATTTCTATTTTCTTTTGCAGTACAACAGTTTAGCATCAAGTATAGCCATGCAGAGTACCTTGTATTCCCCAACCACAACATCAGCTGCCCCCTCAGGAGCCTCTGGAGGCCACGGGGTACATCACAGACTGAAGGGCGGTATATCCCAGATTGAGGGGCCCATAGGGGCAGGAAACTTTGGTATGTTGAGCAGCATGACTAGCTCTGGCAGTCTACAGGGCAGTGGTATAGGCATAGTCCCCCACAGTGCCCAGCCCCGCGTGGACGAAGGCACCCTGGAGATGATGTCCCATGACATGAGCTTCAGTGCATTGTACTTACATGACCTTCAGTTCAAAAGGTCACACGGTCAAAGTGGCGGGGAAAACCTGGATGATATTCGCGCACGTGCCATGTGGCAACGACAGGACAGTAACCAACCAACAACACATGTCCAAATGGCGAACATTCAGGAGATGCATCAGGAAGAGAGCCAAGAAGAGTTGCTAACTCATATACCTAGTGCTGCTGAGGAAGGGGAGCAGTCAATATCACATCAGCCTAGCGCAGCTAAGGGTGATGGCCATCATCCTCTAGAATAGACCTGCACTCTTATGGAAATATATACTGTAACAAACCCAACATCGCTCACTGGAGTACCGTAGTCTTACGACTGGAACTGTACCACTGTGGTACATGTTATTTGTGCATAAGGTATAGCCCTAACCATATCGATCTGATACAGGTTTTCCATGTATATATGGAACTCTGTGCTTCAGTTATGTCACTCCGGTACAGGTTTATACCTGCAGATGGTTAAGTCAAACTCCAAAAAAACTCAAACAGTTAGCGCATGGAAACAAAACAAACCAGATCTGAGCTTGGATGAGAGTGTTGGAATATATTCTTGCTTTAAAGTAAATGGCGAATTTGTGAGACTTCATCACCCAACACATTGATATTCTATTGCATATGAAATAGTTAAGGACTGAATCTTATCTATGTTTCTTGTCACAATTTATAAACTGTTAATTTGGTTGATATACTGGAACAGTATTCACATTGTATAATTAGTACATACATGTTTCTGCATAGCTGCAACAAGTTACATCATGAATTAGTGCTAAAGCTGTCTGTAACCAGCAATAAAACAGATCAATTATATTCAGCCATCATCATAATTTATCGCTTCCAATAAGCAGGAAAACAAACCTATAATGACGAGTAAATAAAGTATGTTAATGGTATCATATACATGTACTTTTAACTAAGATTTATGGATTTTTCTATTTAAGAAAAAATGGTATTCCCCATTACAACCCGTATCTTATTGTTTTGTAAATAACCAAACTCAATGTTAGTGTTGTGAGCTACATATGTGTATGTGTCATAGATTTTACTTACCAAAAAATTATTTGTATTGTACATGTACATTGACACCATATAAATTCTTTCATTCTATAAAATATCGTAGAAAAGTCTTTTTTCTTGCCTGAGATACATTTATCATGTAGATAATACTAGTCTATACAGTAAAAAGATAGATGTGCATAACTGCTTAAATCATTTATCATAATGGCCTCACAACTTAAGCACATATCTTCAGTATCTAAATATTTAAACTTTAATATTTTGGCATTGACAACAAGTGGCATTAGTTGTGAATGATGTATTTTGAACTAATTATAAATGGGGGGTTTTCAGTTCATTGATCAATATGTACTATATTGAATTCTTGAGCTCTGTAGTAAATGGTGTTCTACACAGAGAAACCAATTGATGCAATAAACACTTACTATAATTTTTTAAATCCCTTACATTTGTAATGGAATACACCCTAAAACAGTTCTAGTATACATAATCCTAAATAGTGTTTGACAAAATATTTGTATATTTGACGGGTTTAAGTTTTCAAAACTTTTCATTAAAACAAAGTTTTGTGGTCAGCCGGAACTTGTTATCCTTCCTGGTAAATGAGTCAGGTTGAACATCGTACTATCACAAAACTACTTGATTTAAACTATATAAAAGAAATATAAATTATGTAGCATTAAAATTACTATCCCTAAAAAAGTGTGCTAGTCTTTTAAACCATTTTCTAGGGCAGTAACACAGAGAAATTGGCTTGGCTTGACCCAGTTTAACACCTTAAACAGAGGGGGAGAAAAAATTAGACGAACCTCAACTCATTCACCCCTGAAGACACATTTGAACTCTTCCAATTAAAAAGTTGGAATAGTTCATTATGAAATTTCAGGGGTGAATGAGTTAAATTCTCACCTGCCTTAATGTTGTGACAGCTTTGTTCAATATGTTATTTCCTGTCTTGATTAGGTTTTGTTTTTCGTTTGAGTAAGAATTGATTATTTTCCTTACACAGATAGTCTGCACATCAATCTTGTTCCATTATAGTAAAATAAAATAAGACAATAGGGAATATAGCATGTTGCTTGCTTCTATAGATCAGGTGATTTTCCTTAGATGTACTGTATATACGTATACTGGGGTATACTGGTATATTTATTGTTACTAACATTTACTGTTGTAGAAACCATGAATGTAAATATCCAGTGAATGTTTCATGTTATACAGTAAAAGATCTAGAGTTTCGTCCAGGAAAGCATGGTGTGCTTTTGGTGTCGGCACTAACTTGTCTATGAATATTAAACTTAATATATTTTACAGCAATAATGAAAAACTATATCAGTTTATATTTATCACTCTTGTTGGCATGGATGTTATGGCATGGGGGTCTTAATCTGGGAGGAAACCAGAGAACTCAAAGAAAACCCTGGTACGTTGTCAGGAAGGTCACCCCCTACCTTTTCACATGGGATCGGGGGAATATCAAACCCTGGTCGTCATGGTGAAAGGCGAGTACGCTATCCACTGCTCCACCCGATCATCCAGCCTAATGCTCACTGTGCACTTATTGTCTACTATATGTGATAGTCATAGTTTGTCTACTATAGCAGTCGAAATAGTACAAATGTACTTTAATGACTGTTATAACAAGAAGCACCCAGTAGAAGTCTGTGCTAAAATGTCTAACCTAGCAAGAAGTGCTAATTATGATTTCTTAAGTTTCAACTATTCCGTCTTTGCGTATTGCAGAGTTATCTTCTCTTGGGAGCAAGTATTGATTGTTACGTCATTGGTTTGTGCGAGAAAATTACGTCGTTTTCTCCAAAATTGATGACGTTACTCTCACAAACAAGTGACGTAAAAATCAATACCTGCTCCCAAGATAAGATAACTCTGCAATACGCAAAGACGGATTAGCAGAAAACTCCACATGTTCGTACTAATGTGTCTACGTCAGCATGAAACTCATCATTGGAGCATGTGGAGTTATCTACCATATATCAAGGAGTGTTAATTTTGCTTCCTTTGATTTCTACCATAGCAGGAAATTCTTCACTTGATTCAGATTGTGGTTATACATCCACCTTCACAGAACGTACTAAATTAAATGGAGTTAATTTAAGTATAAACTTTATTTATTTAACAACAATTATAAAAAAGTTATTACAACTTATATTAATCACTCTTGTTGGCCCGGATGCTAGCGCACAAAGGTTGTTAATGTGGGAGGAAATCGGATATTCTGTTGGACAGGTGACCCCATACCTTTTCACGTTTGATCAGGGAATCAAACCCCGGCTGCCTTGGTAAAAGGCAAGTGTGCCACCAAATTTTGAACTACCATATAGCAGGGAACACTAAAATAAGTGACTTTACAAGATACAAATATTTGTACTGAGAGTCAATTATAATGACATGAAAGTACAATACATTAGCTCTGTATACCTAATCTTATGATGTTGCTTACAAGTTAGACAGTTTTGTTGTCCTTTCTAGACAGGTAATATTGCAGAATTGGTAAAATGATGTTGGCCGATTATCGTACTTTATGAAACCTGAAAGAAATCAGATTTACTTGTTTATGCAGAAGAGTACATCCTTAATTATCGTACTTTCTGAAACCTGAAAGAAATCAGATTTACTTGTTTATGCAGAAGAGTACATCCTTAATTTGTGATTTTCACGCGAATAGCATCTCATGGTAATTGAAGTCGTGGTGATCAAATGTTGCAATGAAACCCATGGGCAAACCAAATTGTATGTGCACATCTTGTTTGATGAGTGGAAATGTGTCTCCATTTATATATAACCTTCAAAAGTTAAGAAAAAAAAAACCAATGAAAAGCATATATGTATGGCTAAGATTCCAGTATCCCTGGTAACTAATGATTTGACTACTGTGTGCAGTGAAATTTTCATAGCAATTTCACTCGCAATAATGAAAAGTGTTTTCTACAGTGACATTATATATAGTTGTTGACAGGTAACAAGTTCAGCAGTGTTTGGATTGTGACATTATATACAGTTGTTGACAGGGAACAAGTTCAGCAGTGTTTGGATTGTGACAGTATACAGTTGTTAACAGCTAACAAGTTCAGCAGTGTTTGGATTGTGACATTATATACATTTGATGACAGGTAACAAGTTCAGCAGTGTTTGGATTGTGACAGTATACAGTTGTTAACAGGTAACAAGTTCAGCAGTGTTTGGATTGTGACATTATATACATTTGTTGACAGGTAACAAGTTCAGCAGTGTTTGGATTGTGACAGTATACAGTTGATAAAAAATCATCAAGTTTAGCAGGGTTTCCATAGTAACAGTATATAAGATTGTTGACAGGGAACAAGTGAAGCAGTGTTTCCATATATAGTAACCGTATATAAAGTTGCTGACAGGGAACAAATTCATCAGTTTTTTACTGTGACAGTACACAGTTTTAAAAGTGGAGCAAGCTTAAGTTCAGCTGTGTTACCTATAGTGACAGTATAAAGTTGTTGACAGGGATGTAAGTGTTTTTAACTGTAATTGTTGCTGTGTTGTTTTTATTTGTCAGGGTTTTAATATATCTGATGATATACTAATGCATGCTGTTAAGTGTGGGATAAGTGTACTACATGTTTTGTTTTATGCATAGGTAGTTCATTAATATATATTACAGCCATTTTCAATGCTCAGTTTTGTATATTTTATGTTTTAAAATCTTTTGTTTAGAACCCAAATAACAGATAAAACCTAAATGTGATTGATATTTGAAATGGAGAAAGTGAACGGTTATGTTGTTGATTTAGGGAGCAGGTCTGTTATACATTGTGAAGTGGACAGTAGTGGACAGGAATGATAACAGTGTTTGCTGTCCAGTTCAGTCCACATTTATGAGTTTATGATGCTGTAAACCACTATCGCAGACTCTTGAGGAACCTTCAACTTTAATAAGGGGGTCAACTACAGCCTTGAATTATCAGTAGGATTTCAAGCCTGACTTTATAAATGAAGTTCAATAAGCTTCTCTCTTAAGTTTGTCTTTTTTGTAAACTCATTTTGTTTAACATTTTCCAGATATTCTTTATTAGAACTTCCATATTAAAACATTCACCCTGAAATTTCATAATGAACTATTCCAACCTTTGAATTGGAACAGTTTAAATGTTGCATCAGGGGTGAATAAGTTAAGTGTATCAGAGATGAGACTCGTACTTATGTAAGGGTGTATGATGTGTGTACCCAAGCGTGAAATAAATCTCTTTTCAAAAAGTGTTCCCAAAAGAAGAAATGTGGCGATAATATATTTAATGATTCCCCAAATAGCTGTTTTTAAACAAAAATAGTATTAATGTTTCCTTGCTAGAATTACATTTATAGTTTGTAGATTTGCCCATAACTTTGATTCATTTCTCCTCCCTGCCCTCTGGTGTCAATGTTTTTCATTCATAAAATAATATCTTCCATTAATAAGTATGTGCTGCTTTTACGAAAATAAAAAGTTTGATTGATTCTGTAAATTTTCAAGTCGCTTTTCACCTTCATTTGATTGTTTTCGTCCTTACCCCTATTTCATACACTCTTGTCTTACAAAATGATTCAGTCATCTTAATGTCTTTACGGACATGTTTCGCTGTAGTGCGAATGGTGTAAATATACATTTGTAGATCTACCTCACAACCTGCTGGAATTACCTAATCGCTGGTAGGTTTCTTGATTTATGTTCCAGTGATATAAGTTAGTGAAGTTGTGTTCCGTGGAATATATTGTGTCCTGAAATACGTCTAAGTAATGGTCTGTAATAATTTTTCATTTATGAAGTTAGTTATATATAAAGTGATAATGAGGCTACATACACACTTTAGGTGAGTGATGTCCTTTAAATAAGGAATTTAACCTTAGAGATGTTGCTTTCTAAAAAGATTTATATTTCTTTTGAGCCCTAACTTTTTTGTTTGAAAAATAATCCTCTGTCTTTGTCTTAAAAAATTAATCTAAAGACCAACAATAATATTTGGAAAGGAAAATTATTTGTGACAAGTTTTTTTAAATATTGCAAATGAAAAATATTTTGAAAATTTCGTTTTAAATCAAAGTTTCTTGGAACATCTTGTTGAACGGAGTGATATGATGGTGGTTGATATAATGTCTTAAATAAGCCACACCTCAAAAAAAAAAATCCTGACTGACCTACCATAATTCTTTTCAGTCATGTTACCTGAAACATACACAATTTTTATTTTTGGTCTAATTGAACCGATGCAGTCAAAAATTTCCAGTTTCACCAGGAATTTAATAGATGGCTTTTAGTTTGAGTTAGTGTAATACTTATTTTCGAGGATTACAATGATAATTTTATATTTTCATTTGAAACTTTCATTTGCATTTCATTGCCACCTTAAAAGGATGCCATAACTTCGGCCTTGATGATCGTGACATCATCATCATAACGTTTGGGATACAAATGTACTTGCAAATGCTTGTTGGCTGTTCCATTTATTGAAAATCTGCCTCAAGTTTGAAGAAAAAAATATTATTAATGAAAACCATAAATACACAAGTATTTAACTGTATTCTGTTCTTAATTGTACTAGAATAATACTGTTTACTGGGAAATGTTCGCTGTAGTTTAATTTTCACCCGTAATAAGAATGAATTTATCATTATAGTGGACGATAGTGAATAACATAATTTACATAGAAGTTAAATGTGACGGGCAAAATTGTAAGGGAAATATTGGCTGAAAATAGATTTTACCGTTGAAGGGTGAAAAGTTCCCTGTATATTTATCGGAAATGAAACGAGAAGGGTGAATTTAATATTGGGCAAAAATGGATTTTACCACTGAAGGGTGAAAATTTTCCGGTATACAGTAGTGCACTTGGACTCTGACCAGAATGCATTTTAATACTGAATTATTCCATCCTATCAGCACTTTCCATGTAACTGCTGTACATATGCTCTGTAATGTAAGTCTACTTATGTTTTCTGTATAATGTTTACTGTATATCAATGTAAACCTGTATATTTAAATAATGCATGTTTACTGTATATAAATGTAAACCACATGTATGTCTTGCATACCGGTACATTCTTATTTTCTTCTACAAGTTGACAATGTGTGTTCAATATGGCGTTGTCAGTACCAATGTTTCATAGGATCCAATTAAAGTTCCATCCTATGATGGTATCAAAGACTAGTGTAAAAAAGAATCGTGACATACATTTTCTTGACATAAGCTTAACTCTTGGTGAGTTTTGAATAGCTTCTTAGATATTGATCCTTTTAGATATTGCTGCCTTAATTTAAAAAATTAATAAAGAATAACCAGACTTATGTTTGCTCAAAAATGTGGTTTCTTTAAACCGTTTCTGTGAGATGTAGGGCCGCGGTGGCCAAGTGGTTAAGGCGTCTGAAATTCTCCACCACTGGGTCGCAGGTTTGAGAGTCGCCAGGTACTTGCGGGTATGTCGGTGGTTTTTCTCCTTAACTCCACCTTTCCGCCTCCACCAAAAACTGGCATGTCCTTAAATGATCATAGCTGTCAACAGGACGTAAAACACAAACAAACCAAAAAGTATGAGATGTGAGGATATCATAATATAACTCGCTTGTGTCGTACCCAGTTGAGACAAAATGCAAGTGTTCCAAGTCATAGCTGTTCAGTGGTATGCTTCACTGTAAGCCATTGTGTAAATACTTGTTGATCAAAGAGTTTTATTTGTAAAGTATTTATTCTTCAATGATTTCAAGTTTGTAAATAAAATTTTAATGAAAGATGAATTGATTGTGATTTGTGTTTTTCTTTTTTTTAGCTTACTTTGTCCTCATTCCTAATAACCAAACAAGCTGATATCATCATGGCATGCAGCAGATGTCTGTTGGCCTGCTACATCCCACTGCATGATCAGATGCGGTCACTAAGGTGGGACCACTACAAAATCTGTTCAGGGATGGGGTTATTAATTACCTCCTAGATAATCTGTTGTAAGGTTGGCTCTTATTGCTTGCTAAAAGAACCAGATCAGGTCTTCCCAAGTGTGTTTATATTTATATAACACCTGGAAATATAAATACTCTGTCAGTACTGCTAATGGGATTTAAAGCAAATTTGGCATGGGGCACCCTGTGACGTTTTATGGCATGTATGCTTTAAAGTCCTACATCTCATTAAAGCTGCACAAGTTCTAACCTTATTGAAATTGGAAATATCACTAGGGCAAGATGATTTGAATTTGAATAAATGAAGTTGATGTGATCCCTGGCGCTTAAAAGATGAATCCCAACAGAGGAAATTTTATAGTTGTGCACTTATTTATGCAGCTAGAGAAGAGATTTACCAGTTTTGGCCCCTGGGTCCAACTCGCCTCTGTTGATAGTCTGGTGGTCATTATATACACAATAAACATGAAGAGATGAACGTGATCATGCTACAAGGATTGGCTCCTGTGTCTAGTCCAGCCCCTGATAACTCAGCATTTTGGTCATTACATAGAATTAATTTAGATCCTTGCCATATATGCAGTTGCTAGGTATGTAGAGATGACTATAATAATGTTTAAAGGAATGGCCCCAGGTTTACATGGAAATGGTTGAGATTCCCATTATATAACCATACAATTAAACCATTGCTAGGCATGAAAACATGAATAAACTTATAATACTAGGATCGTTGATTACCTTTGGAACATAGACTTTGGGTCATAACATGTAGCCTGTTGAGATCCTCCACCCCCACCCCTATAACTGAAGACATAATTGCTTGCAAGGCATGAAGAAATGTACGCAATTGTGCTACTATCATTACCCCCTGTATGGCCCCAACCCTGAGAACTTAGTCCACAAGTCAAATTCCATGTACTTTAAAACAATAGATCTCTAACATATTAGCCGGGGGGGGGGGGGGGGGGGGGGGGGGGGGGACGTGATCTTTGAGACATTGGAAAGATATCTAAGTATTGAAAAGTTTTTACTTTATTGACTATTAATCTTTCCTGGGACAAAGGAATTTAATGTTAGATACCACTTCGTGCTAAGAGGTGGCGCCAAAAATGGGGAGATATTTGCAAGAGACTATTTTGTCATATTTGCTTTAATGAACAAATTGTTTAAAATCGCATTTGACGACCCAAAGAAACTTAAGCATAAGGTCAGTGGAGGCGATCATGTTGTAGACCTATATTACACACAGTCCGTGTTGTAGACCTACATTACACACAGTCCGTGTTGTAGACCTACATTACACACTGTCCGTGTTGATAGTGAAGTTAATAAACATCAATATCTCAAACGCAAATAAGGAGTACAGGGCGACTTTGATGCTATCAAGTATGTGTGATGAACTTACTAACCCTGTATTCAGTTGATTTGATAGTCATACAATGTAATTTCTTCAAGAAGAAACAATTTGCGACATTTATTGTATATATATACATATATATACAAATATATAAGCGGGATTCGTGATTTTTTGGTTTATAGTCACGATCGTGTATGTGAAATCGCGACCTTGTTATAGAGTTTTGTAGCTATATATGGTGAGGTGACCATTATTGTCACACTGAAGATGGTCTCATTAAAATGACAAGATAAGAAGCTGACGACCAGGAGGTCGCGGTGTATTAATTTCAAGTTCAAGACAATTTAGACTTGAGGCCTTTAGATACGTAACGGTATTGAGAAATTGTAGAATCGTTCACGGCATACATTAATTTGACAAGAATCGATTTTAAAACAGAACCGAATCTTAACAAACGTCTGCTCTGTCGCAGTTGGTTGGTGGTCGTACAGGGTTTAACGTCCTATTAACAGATAAGGTCATTTAAGGACGTTTTTCCCATATGTATATTGTATGCGTGCATGTGTGTAGATCTGTTGCCGACTTTAGAGTGCTACCTCACTGAGATAACATGCCGCAGGCACCCAGCACAGCATTCCGCCCGGTCACATTATACTGATAACGGTAGAACCAATAGTTCCCATACCTACAAATGCTTAGAGTTAGGCAAGGAAAAACAGCTACCATTTTTAAGGACTTGGGTATGTTCCGGCATGGGGACAGAACCCATTGTCTTCCTCACCTGGGTGAACGTTCAACATTAAAGCCAAAAGTGAGGTATTGCCAAGCGAGGCGCTAGGAAATAAAAGGTAGTTGGAAGTAGAGAGAAATATAAAGATCCAATATATTGCTATAGGTGCAGCAGATTTATTTTGGCCGCTTTCTTGTCCCTAAGTAGCAAGCAAATCCCCAATTCTGCAGAGGATCCCCATATTATTCGCCTCTTACGGTACATCCAGTGGGTAACAGTAGGTATATTCTTTTCCCGATCTCCGATCCGCAGGGGTGCTCTGTCGCAGTATACTTCCCTCTACCGTAGTGGTACTGAATTGAGAGGGTTAGACCGTGAGTTGTAAATTTTTAAACTTTGAATGATGGATAATTAAATATTTACAGTCTACTATTAAAGGGTAGTAAAGTACAGAGGAGTGCCGTACGGTATGTGTACTAAGGAATGGTCAACACGCGGACAAATATAGCTTACTAACACAACGCTTGACCAGAGAGGCGACTATAATTCATCTGTAGACATAATTTAAATTTTTAATTTCTTAATCTTTATGAGAATATTTACAAAAGAGAAACTTTGATACGAGTTTCACGAGAACAGGTGGATAATGGCTTGTTCTGCGGTATTGTTCTGTACTTGGATTTAGACACTTTTCAAACAAATTCGCATATTTTGGCGTTAAGCGTGTATTTGTATTTCAACCATGTTTGAAAAATATCAGAATGAAGAAGCAGAGTTATACTTTCAAAATGTCTGTGTGAGTAATGGCGATACAGATGGAGTGCTTGATGTTACGGGCCGTGTTAAGGGTGGCGAAATCTTGGGAGTATTCGGGCCAAAAGGTAAAGTTTTGTGAAGAACAACTCAAATTGCAAATAACCGTTGTACATTGTATGCATTATCTTGTGTATTGTTAAATGCTCGTGAAATATATTTTGACAAATCTCCTGTATAGTGTAAATGACTTTTCCGTTGCCTTCTTCTAGCTCATCTCTCCCTCTAGTTTGAATCTCATATGTTCTAGTTACTAGACACTAACCTTCTATTTTCAGCACATGTGTAAATACTATCACAGTGTAGTACATGTTATTTAGACATTTCAACAGCAATTGTATATTTATTAAAAAGCAAAAGCGATAATTTTTTGGACAGTGTTTTCATTCTGTATTTTATATCTTGTTGCATCTATTTGCTTTCTTTAAAACTTAGAATCATCATGCCCCTAAACCATTATTTATTTGTAGTACATCAATGATCATAAATATACTCTGAACACCTTAGTTTAGGTCTAAATATAGATGTAACAAATTATCAGGTCCCTGTGCATCAGACTACTAGGTCCGACCTAACCGGTTCAACTGTTTTGGATCGCGAAAAACGAAAACTGCCCGGAATTAAATATTTTGCATAAATACTATGTTGTCAGTGAGGCCCTAGACTCTGTACGGAACACATTTGGTACATTTTGAAAATACAAGAATATCTCAGAATCTCATCAAAATAAATAAATTCTTGATATTAGAAAATTAATGTAACATTTTATATCACTAATTTGAAATCTTTATATCATTAATTTCCGAATGCAAAAAAGTCACTTCTTGATACTAAAAGTCTATATTTTTTATATCAACAAGTCATGGTATTTCTTGATATTAATAATACGATTTCTTGATAAAACAAATATTTCCACCCTTTCTAGTAGAGGCATCATGTTAAAATGTTCATTTTCCCCAGAAACCTCATATATCATCCATAGTTACCATTCCCCCAGAAACGCACTCCTCCCTCTAGAAACCACACTATACCCATATCATATCCATTCAGAAAAATCTTCTCCTTTAGAAACCCTAAACTTCATCCGTAGTTATCATTCCCTCAGAAATACACTCTCCCCTTTAGAAACCTAATTTTAACCTTATATAACACACTCAGCACTCTCCCCGCTAGAAACCCCATTTTGTCCATTTATAACCCATTCAGAAAAAATCTTCTTCTTTAAAAGCCCTAAACATCACCCATAGTTATCATTCAATCAGAAACGCACTTTTCTCTCTGTAAACCCGATTGTTACCATATACAATCCTCTCATAAACATCTTCTCCTCTAGAAACCCTAAACCTCATTCACAGTTACCATTCCCTTAGCAACGTTCATCTACATATTAAGTAATTTAATATCTCGCCTAATAACGGATCAATGGTTATCTTCAAAAATGGTAGCGTCAACGTTGGTATATGAAATATTCATGCTAAAAAGAGACAAAATCAAAAAAATGTCTTTCCCAAATTAAATATTTTTGTATTCAACTTCTAAAGAGGAGAAGTTTTTAAGACGAGGTACGTTAAGACTTCTTGTAGCCCGACTTTCTTGTTTCCCAGGCTGCGGGAGGACGGCGTTATTATCTGCACTGTCTGGTCTCTCGCCCGTGTCCCGGGGAGAGGTCCGGGTGGGCGTGACTCCTATTGAGAGAGCCAGGGGGATGGTTGCTTTCTGCCCAGCCGTAGATGTTTTCCTTCCCACTCTCACGGTAGAGGAAACGCTTAAAGTGAGTTCTTCAAGAAAAATAACGACAGAGCGCCAAATCTAGATAATATCGGAACCGTTTTCTTAGTCTCAGTGTACAAAAAACGTCTCAAAATAATCCATTCCTCTGATTTTTGTGGAACAACACCCCAAAAAATGGCAAGCCCTCCCCTGGGCCCCTATTGACTCTAAACAATTTCGCTGGAAAAAAAGAACATTTAGATAATTAAGAAAAAAGCAAAACAAAAGTTAACAAGTTTAAACTGAAGCAAAGTCAGACACAGTGAGGGACCGTTGGCATATCCTTGGCTTACACCCGTAAATATGTCAATAATAATTATAAGCCACGGCGGCCATATTCGATGACTGAAAAGAAAAATGAAACGCGTTCAGCACATTTACATGTGTTTAAATATGCCAACCAATACGCTTGTGAAGTTTCATAAATATCCTGCAACTGGTTTCTGCGGAAAACTCCGGGAAATATTTGACGGAAAGAAGAAAAACAATAATTAGAAATTCAACAAAATTTGTTTAAAAACTCCCACTTCGTTTTTCAAAATAAAACAAACAAATAACTTTTTAAGAACTCATTTTTGGAGGTGTTTAAAACATATAAATACTAGAAGCATGCGTAATCAAAGTATTCTTATTATAAAATCTAATCTTAAACGTGTATTCATCGTTGATATTCCAGTATTCTGCCATATTACATCTTAATGTTGACTTACCCTCTTCAACCAAAGTTAGACGGGTCAGTGAGGCTATCGATCTACTCCAGCTTGGCCTCTACAGAAACTGTAGTAAGTATTCATTTCAAGTTTGGTTTTTGTGTATTTAAAGTCATACGAACAGCTATAAGGTCATTTAAGGATATACCAGGTTTTGGTGGTGGAGGAAACCCGGGGTTCATGGAGAAAGAACACCGACCGGCGGCCCGTACATGGCGACTGCCCAACATAAACCTCGAACCTACGAATAAAGGGTGAACGTAGATGGTCAGAAGCCTTAGCCACTCGGTCAACACGGCCCCTTGACCTCTTTAGAAACTGTAATAAGTGTTGACCTCTACAATGACATCTACAGAAAACCTATAAAGTACTTAACTCTACCATGACCTCTACAGAAGCTTTACAAACTTCTGACCTCAAATTTAATATTATCTGTAAAGACTTTAATGAATTATTACCTCTACCATTATCTCTGCAAAAAAAAGAGGTAAATATTGACCTCTATCGTTACCTCTACAAAACCATGAGTGAATATTGACCTATTCTTTTACCCAAATAAACATAAGTAAGTATTGATTTTTTCCATAACCTCCAGGAAAAGTCCAGCAAATATTGACCTCTATCGCGACCTTAATGAAACATTACCAAATAGTGACCTCTACCGTGACCTCTATATTATAAGGCCTTATAGTAAGTGTTTACCTCAACTTTGACCTTTACAGAGACATTAGTAAGTATTGACCTCAATTCTGACCTCTACAATTGCCTGAGTAAGTATTGAACTTTGACCTCGACAGAAAAAATCACAATCGCTGACCTTACGTCACATATTCGTTAGTAGATATATTTTTTTCTGGTTCTCTATATTTACTGATAGTCAGAAAACAACCAGGTTCTTTCACAATATCAACATGTGTTGTCTAATATATCGTTCTAGTTACAGGAATGGGAATCGGCATTTTCGCTTATTCTGGCGTTCCGCGTGGAATATTATTGTTTGTGTTTCGTTGTCAGAAATCGTGTGAATTTGAGAGAGGTACACAACAGGTAAACCGTTTACTGCCGTACTTCTCCCCACATCAGGAAGATGAAAACCACTTCAAGTAGCTTCTTATCAATAACATCTACCCGCGCAGAAAATAATTACCGTAAAAGTAAGCTATATGGAGTCATAACACATGTCCATTAAATAGACGCATTGTATTTAAACTAAAGGCACACGTACTGGTCAATAGTCACATACATCGGCTGTGCCTAGGACTGCATTGTAGTAGGAATGTGTTTGTCATTACAGCCATGTGTAGCCCGTTCGCGTTTTTCAACAATATTTTTAATTGAATAAAAAATATTCATTGATTCACCCTGTTCGTAAGATGATCTAAAAAAACGAAAGACGAGAATTAAATCTTTATTCTTTTGTCTTTTCCCCAAACCAATTAAACGAACACGCCAATCTTTGCGACAAAAAATGTTATGAAATGTTCTCGTTGGAATTATTTGTGTTTTTCTCTCTTCAGTGGTGCAATTTCTTGACCGAGCTATTAAAAAGCGCCTGGCCATCGCCTGTTCAATGCTGACCAGTCCTGTTGTTCTTCTTTTAGATGTAAGTTACCTCTTCCTGGGGACATGAGCTGTAAAAATTAGCAAGCGCGTAGAGAGACAGAGAGTCCGTAAACGAGAAGTGCCGACAGTTCCTAAATGCAACACACATGCATGTTTATATCAACCACGCCTCTTCCAGGGGATGTTTTCATTATTTAAAACACTATATCAGTAAATATGATAAACTGTGGGGCAGATTATTATTCTACCCGATCTATATACGCCATCTGCTATTGGAAGCTAATTCATCTGTCTAGCCAAATTAACATTATTTTGTATGCTTGTCATAGATACGTTCCGTAGAATCTCACTTTATTTCGTATATATCCCACAGGACCTGATAATTTGTAATAGCTATTTTTGACATACAATAAGGTGTTCGGAGTAGTTTACACGCTTAGAGGTCTAGATTAAGTTTAGGTTAAATTGCCACCCCCAATGTTAGTATATTTTGAACACTTTTGTTTAGGTTCGAATAAAGATGTAAGAAATTCTCATGTCCCTTTAATACATTCCATAGTTTATACAATTAAGATCGTGAGGAAAACATGCCAAAGTGTCAGGAATCGGATTGTCCAAAAATCCTTTTTGTTACTGTGTCGACCAAAATGTCGCTTAGAGAACCCGAAAATGCCTCTTAGAGTACACAGTCCAAAATATTCCGTCGTAAGAAACCTTTGTGGATTGGGCTATCCATGCAGCTCCTCAAATACATCCAATTCGGTACATTGCATCATGTCGTCATTCTCTCTGAACATGTAGTAATGTTTCAAAAGAGAGAGGTTGAGTAACCATGCGAATACGGCTACGTGTACACATGTATGAGAAATCTAAACAAAATATGCGCATAACGTCATCAAATTTTGCACAGGAGCTTTACACGTCGCATCAATTTGTTGGGCGCAATTTACGGGTAACGTCTTTGTTGGTGGTCATATTAAACTCTTGTTTTTGTTTCGTATGACGCTATGAATCAGACGGCAATAAGGTATTGATAGACAACCCGTTTTGCAGTCAAATATGTATTTTAAAATGTTTCATTTGCCTTGTATCAATCCAAATTATGATTTCCTTAGCTTTTATTTCTTTAGGTTGGTAAGTATAGATTACACAAAGGTCCATACATCACAACCAGTAAAATATTGATGTGTGGCGTTTCGGCGACTAGTATGACATGTACTGTGTCACCTTCATGTTAGAGATGATGACGGTACGAAGAGTACTAGTCACTGAAACGTCACACTTAAACACTTTCTTAGTCGTGCTGTATGGACATGTATTCATTCATTTCAAAATGTTTTTGGAGAAAATGGTTTTGATAACTGTCGCAAATTATTCATAATGAAATCAAACATAAAAGTATATATCAACTAACACTTTACTATATAACGAACGCGTGCTCTCCTGTAAGTAAGAGTTTCCTGTGACGCCAGGGATGATATTATTGCCATTGTTTCCTCCATAGGATCCTCTTTTCGGATTGGCTTTCGAGGAAACTCTAGACCTGCTCAAGTTGTTACGCCTGTATGTGGAGAAGACTGCACGAACTCTAGTGATTGCGACTAGTACTTGTCCAGGTGTCGTGTATCAAGCTTGTTCTCAGTATCTCTTCCTCTACAGGTCAAAGGTGAGACATATAATGTATATCTTATCGTGAGTTAATTCGACAATCAATTGGCTGCTATCACAACAGAACAACTTATCTTATTATGACGGGTTTTCAGAGTCTTGCGAAAAATAAATGAAAGTAGTATGTTAGGTTTTGTATTTAATCGTTACACTGACTACGCAAACAGAGACTTGACAATTTGTTACATATAATATTTGGACCTAAACTTAGGTGTTCAGAGTGATTTTACACGTTTGAGGGGTTTAGATCAACTTTCGGTAAAAATAGTGCTCACTTTTGGCACAGCACTGTATACAAGCTCATCGGGGGTTGTAGTTTTAACGAAAATGATCTTAATCCCTAAAACGTGTAAAATTACTCTGAACACCTTAATTTAGGTCCAAATATCGATGTATCAAATTCTCAGGTCCCTGTGACTACGCATAGCAGTACTATTTAAAATATATCTACATATTTGTGTCTTTTCAGATGGCTTACAGCGGTACACCACATGAACTCGTCCAGTTCATGAAAGACATTGATCTGGGTTGTCTTCATGCCTATAACCCCGCCGAATACTTTTGTAAGTTGTTAAGGCACGTTTTTATTGTATCAAACAGACAGAATATGTTCTATTTTGTTTTGCATTGCATCGACTTTTACTGACTGTTTGGATCGGTTTCTTACAGTGGAGCGGCTATGTGAGGAAAACCTTGACGACAGCAAACCAGTTCAGGAGAAAATTATAACTGCGTTCCGGGAACGGATGTACGTCCTTTATAATTTTAGATAGCTCAAATTAACCCATCCGCCTGCCAACCCCAACGATGTTACAACGATGTCAAAAACAATAAAATTGGAAAATAAACAGAAAAGAAAAAACACGAAAACTAAAATTCACACGCAATTTCCCATAACAACTGGGTATAATAATTTTGTTGCCACTAATTCTGGTATTTGTAAATTCCGGAAAACGAAAGCGCCAATATTCTCGAGAGGATATAAGTGTCATTTGTTTGTCCGCGTTTCTGTCTGTTTTCTGTATGCTTGTCATATAAAAAAATCACTTTTTTACGTTAATTATGAAAATTAAAGGGTTATTGTTATCAATAACATGTCAAAGATGTATGTCGTTTGAAGGCCAGAAATAAATTTCTTTTAATACAAGCCAAAATTTCGATTGACAAAACACTAGGTATCGGTACGATTGGTAATGTAAGCTGATGCAAATCGACCTTTGTTCTAAGATCAGCATAGGTCTATACTTTCTTAATAAATTCATAGCTTTTTTTATTTAGACAAACGAAAGAATACTCTACGAACTGTACTGGAAGTGACGTCAGACACGATGACATTGTAGACGACTCGTTAAGACGACACAATGGTTTAAACAAGGACATTGTCTCACACTCTACACCGGGGCTAGGTAGGTCTCTATGTGCATAACTTTACCATACACAGAAGGAACTAGGAACAAAGTAGGAATCAGTACCGATGACACAATATGCAAGGGTTTGACCTGTGTAACAACATTCCTCTTCCTCTTTACGCTACCCTTTTCCCCAGTGATGTAAAGAAATCATTATTTAATGTTTCGATCCCTTATATGAGGGTGCCAACCACTTATAACATATCGTTGGAAAAACTAGCTTGCTAGTAGGGCAGTAATTTCCCGTCTCATTCTTAGGATGTCACTATTTCATCTAGGAAAGATTTTATCCAAAGACTCGGCCTGGGGATTCCCCTGCATGCATACCAGCGGACCTTTGTTGATGGCCACACCGATGTTGAATTTGGTGGCAGCGGTGGGATCATGGAGTACGGTGTAAGGTCACTTTCTGGGTTTTTTCACATCCAACCACCGACCACGCTCGAAGTTGCTGAGCTATAAATTGAGTCCCAGGGTATATAATTATATCGCATTCATGGAAAAGCTAACTTGCGAGGAAGGTAGCATTTTATCTCCATATTTCCTTGATGCTACACTGCTACACCGCCCCGGGTTCTGCACGGGATTAAGGCAGTGTTTCGTACGATAAGTGCAGTTCACTGTACTCCTTGGATTCGTACGCCACCTCCGGCAAAACAAGTTTGTAGTTGTTTTCTCCGAATATCACTATAGATTTCCTTACTCACTTCTCAATAGATGAACCTGCGAGTAGGTGGTTACCCTTCAGTGGGTAACACTCTGGAAGTGATTTATTTGGTCAATCTTTTAATTATGACGTCACGTCACAATGCTTAGAGACGTCATCTTTCCATATGATGTAAAGATTAATGACAATTGACCCCCATCGGAAACAGAAAATGAATTTTCAAAGGAAAACATGTTTCTTTTTAAATAAATTATGAACTTTATGAGAAAAAAGTTCCCGAAACATATAATTACTGGTTATCATATACTTATTTAACTCTAGTTAATTTTTAAGTTTTAAAAGACACCCGGTAAATCTGGAGGTCTAGGACGCGCAGCGATTAAGAATTTTGGCAGCTTTTTACAATATTTCTAAAGAACTACTGGAGATATAACCGAAAATGGGATATGATAGCATGGATGCATTAGATTGCTTTGATTCTGAAGCTTCGAGAGTAATCCTGATGCTTGTGACAGATTACTGAGTATTCCAGATCGCAAGAGATCATCATATGAAAACTGCGGTTACTACCTTGGGAAAAGTAAGGAGGACACTATTGCGACTGAAGTTTCAATCTATTAGGCACTTTATGCATGTATTTATATGTGTAAAAAAATGATAATATGTACATCATATGTATGTTGACTGATATCTCGAATATTTGTCGAGATGAGTTATTAATTTTCTTCTGTTACAGATGAAGCTCATGTTTTAATAGACTACAAATCAGTTAAGTCGGCAGTTAACAATTTATCAATAAGGAAGTTCAGTCAAACGTGGAGCGCGCCATATTGGCACGAATTCCTTGTATTATTAGCCCGGAACTTCCACAATGCACGGCGGAGAATGTTATTTCCGGTGGGCGTGGTTCAGAATCTCTATATCCTTCTCATATGTGTTCTGGTATGGTGGCAGCCGGAAAGAAACGAAGACACGGTCAAGGACAGGCTTGGACTGGTCAGTGTGGTGTCACGAAATAATGTTTAAAATTTAGAAAAATCCAACTTTTTATGTCTTTATTTAAAAAAACAAACGAAAATTAGGATTCATATTGTTTCTAACTCAATGGAAAAATCCTTTCTGTTACGTGCGATGTTGTTGATCATCTGCAATCTGTGCGATTATTAACCAAGCTAATGAAGAAAGTTGTGACATTGAAACACATACTTTTTGAGTTACATATAAAGACCATTAAGGTATAGTAAAAATACATTTATGTTGAAATTTGCTTTCGATTAACTGTTAAATCTCATTTGCTTAAACTTCTCATTTCAGTTTTTCTTTACCGTGGTGCAGTGGGCATTCTTCGCCTTATTAGACGCAATATTGACATGTACGTACATTGACATGCTGTATGGAGCAGCACGGCTTGGTTTATAGTACATATATATTATATATATAAATTCGACAATTGAAGATCACAAACGGGGTTAGAGTTATTTCCCTTTGATAATCGAGTTTCATCAATCAGAACATTTTGATTTGTATATTTAGGTACATTGTATATGTGATTTCCATTGCAGTCCCCAAAGAGATGAAGGTTTTAAACAGAGAACGGACGTTCGGACGGTACCGTCTGTCCGCCTATTGTCTGTCTAAGACCCTGAGTGAGCTCCCATTGGCCGTCCTACAGCCGTGTGTATACCTATGTGTTATATACTGGGTGGCCAATCTCAACGGAGTACACGCATTCTTGTCGTCGCTAGGGATTCTCGTGCTGAATGTCCTGGCCGCGCAGGTACGTCATCAAGTCGATCAGATTAGTCTACGTCGTATGGGGATTAGACGTCATTAAACATATAAATAAATACACTCCATTCCATTACCTCTTAAAATGATCGGCGCTCTTTAGAAATAGGGGCTATTGAATAATTAGAAATTCGTTCATGAAGTTACAGCTAATATCTGAATAGACTCAAACCATTATAACGAAAGGATAGTTTGATTCTCAAACATTTTGCTCTGCGTCAAAGTCAAAGCCATTACGTGACCTTTGATTTTCGTTTCTTATATAGCTGCCAACCGAATTCGTTGAAAACCAAACCTTAAAGTTTGTTTTCGTAAATTCAACACAAGTCTACACAAAGAGCTGTTTGTACCGTTGCCTCTTTCGTTTTCTTCCTGTATATTAACTTATAATTATGTTCTGACATTACCTCCAACCACAGAGTATTGGACTGTTCGTCGGGGTGGCCCTGGAGCCTCCTTGGACCGTCAGTGTGGTATCCCTGGGACTTCTCTCTATGATGCTTTGGGGTAAGTCTGTGGTGTCTCCCTAACTTACTGTGGGATAACCTTTCATCAGTATGCTATCTCTGGAACACTAAACCGTATGATACTGCAGTGCAAGTCTTCCGTACGTCGGCGCTAATTGTACCTTCATTAGGACATCGTTGAAGATTGAAATATACGCATCAATATATAATGATAAATATACAAGGACTCCATTGTTATATTTCTTCTGATTGTTTGCCTCGATTAGTTGAGTGAAAATATACAAGGAGCTCACTATTTTTATATTTCATATAAGTGTTTGACTCCATTAGTTAAGTCAGTGGTGCGTTTGTATTAATAACAAACTGACCCATACGATATAGTCTTTCATTTGTAATGTTGTGTCACTGATTATCCTCCAGGTGGCGCCTTCAACACCCCACCGCCCTGGCTCCGGTGGGGGAAGTTTGCTTCCTTTTTTTTCTACGGTCTCAATGCATTTATCTACATAGAGTTTACGGACGCTCCACCAATAAAGTAAGTATACTTAGACATGCTATTCTACTGCAATAATTGAAAAATCCATTGTCTTATATTTTAATGTTCAAGATAGTGATTTAAGCTTAGATATATTGCGTTTTATAATAACCCCAGACGACTTCCACTTAATACTGATCGCCCGGGATACAGACAGTTCGCTTTCGAAATGTTCAAATATTCGCAATATTTCGGTGATCCCATACTATTTTTTACCATTTTTTGTGAGACGTGTGAGGGTTTTCAGTTGACTCTTGGCAGTAAGAAATATCAGAAGTCAACAAGCATCTCCCCTTTTTGAAGAGTCAAAAGACTTGTCAAATAGACTTGTCCTTTCAAATCCAAGAGTCAAAGCTAAAAAGGAGTCAACAGATACCCTCAAATATCTGTTGAAAGCCCTGCCTATGTGGTTCGCACAAATACGTTTACGTTCTTGCTGTTTATAACTTTGTTTCCCCATTAAGGATCCCTGTTCCACTTAACTGTGTTTTTCCCCTACTTTCAGTAACCTCCCCTTAACTTCTGTTTGAATATAACTGTAGCACAGCTGGGCAAGGCCACTTTGTTGTCCAGGAAGCTCAATTGGTTACAGCGATAGTATAACAATCTGTGGTCCAATGTTTGAATACCGGTCTAGCCCCACTGATTGTTTTCACACTCAAAAAACACTGTTGTTGATTATATTTTGCTTAATCTGTCTTTATTATGTCTCATTAAAAGTACCGCATTGTATTGGGTTCTTTTCAGAATTAATTTATCAAAGCTATAGACATGTCAGAAAAACACAGTTTCCAACACTTCGTTACAGTGTTGGCAGTTGTACGGGGATCCTTAAACCGTCTATCTCTGTATACATAATTTCCACTTAACATGCTACACAAGCGCCTACGTCTATATACAGGTGTGTGCCGACCAGTCCCTACCACACGGCTCCTATATGTAATCTTCCTCTCAACGGAACCAACACAACAATTCCAGAGTTTCCGTCCAATATACTTCTGGAGCCACTCGGGGTCGATTGGCCACTGTGGTCCTATATCGTCGTTTTGGCGGGAATCATGGTAGTCACGCGGCTGCTGTGGTACATTCTCCTTCGCAGGAAGAAACTGGATTGGTAGAATGTGACGTCACGTGTACATGCGACCGTTCCCGGCAAGAAAATATAGTTCGTGGAAATAAACACAAAATCAGACCCTTCCTCGTTGTTTAAAAGGTCAGGAATTGCTAATGCATAGTTTGCCATTTTCTGGCAGACGACACACTTTCGTGACGTCAACAATGCACTTAATATAGTGACGTCGGTCAAAACGACGTCATTTAGTCACGACGTCACGAATATGTTCTTCATATCACTACACCAACGGAAATTATGTGAGAATAACGATCTGATATCAATCAATTTTGGTTGGTTAGGTTATATAGTGGCAATGCAGAGCAATTGGAAATATTCATCATTGACTATGATTTTATTCGTGGGAATCACCGATTTCAGGGAAGCTGATATTTTGAAGTCGTTTACAAAGGTCTGCGTAACACCCGAAGCCCGGATCTCTGGTTATGTGATCAATGAGTGCTTCCCTGCTCCTGGTAAAGATGTCTAGTTCCTATTAATAAAAAACCCTGAATATCTGTGAACATATTTCAAACATTATATTATGGTTAAAGTTTTTCGGTTGACTAATCGATGAATATTCAATATTTACGCATGTCATACCTTGTATAACTCATCTCGATGACTAGTTACACCCGTAACAAACGTGATATAAATACATCCAACATGATGGGAACTTCGATTCCAATTTTCTGCTTCGTCGAATACGTAAGAGTTGACCAGTTCCTGTAAACTCTGCAAGACTTACCTTCTAACGTAACGCCTCGATGCAAAATGGTTCCGACATGTTAGATCGTAGTTATTTTCAATCCTGTGAATTCATTGACTTGACAATCGGAATTCTTGATTATTCGAAATAATGGCAAATAGCTGTACCACGCTTTGAGTTGAATATGCAGTTATCTTCGTCATAATATATTCAAGATATATTATGTGTGGGCCCGTATTCATGACAATTTTCTCATGCTCAAGCATGGAATCTGTGCTCAAACCAACTTTCTGGTAACTCGCTGAGATCATGTCAAATGATCAAAAAGTCGAATGAAAACATTAAAAACAGTATTTGGCTATAAGTCTCAAAATGTTTCCAAATCATGAAAAAATAAGATTTTTTCATTGAGTTATAACCAGAACAAGAAGTAAGGCATGAGCACAAAATCCATGCATGAGCATAAGAACGGCTTCCTGAATATGGGCCTAGGAAATCGACGCAAATAATTTTCTCTCGCAGTGATGAACTTATGATCGTTTGTTAGCGACACGACAGGAATAATTTTCAGTGTCAACTACGCTGGGCGAAGCTGTAGGGCAAGGTTCTGCTGCTTGAATGAACATTTGGAAAAAGTGATCACGACCACAATGGAATATTGCTTAACGTGTCTCCGATTAGTGTCCCATTCAATTGCCTGTTTCTAGTTGCCTGTTCCAACATGAAACTAATGGTGTGTGTATATAAGTATCTCAGTTACAACGAAACCTATCTTTACACAATAAGAATTTATCATTTTGTCGAAAACAGTCCGCGGACATCGTGTTTATAAAGCCAGTATTGTTCGATTTCTGCTAACATTTTGAGAAGACGTGGTAACATCTCGCTGGTCGCACATTTACAATATTACACAGTAATTAAAACAAAAGTGCAAAATTTGTCGAAGAATTCTTTTGTCTATAATTGTTTCCATGTGTTGTTATTTTGCAGTAATGATGTTATACTACAATGCTTGACATTATCATGTTGATAATGTTAACCCGAGAAAGATGTTATACGGCTTCTGAAAATATCATCTTTTGATGTGTGACACATCCTCGTGTTAACCAACACATCCAAGTAACTGACTGCTTTTGATGTTTGACTGTCTTTGATGATTTCTGTCACACTGCTGAACTTGCGTTTCCTCTACATCCCTTGAACTGTGGCTTAATGTCTATCATAGATTCCCACCGAACTGAACACATTCACCGACCATTTACATTTCCTTTCTGAACGTACCCCAAGTTGTTTATAAATACGACCCAATTGTATACTACATAATGTACACTACTAATTCATACAAAATATTTCTAAGCAACATCAACACTTGGTGGCAAACGTTCTCGATCTGCAACATTATTGCTGACTGATAAAATAAAGCAACAAAGGTTTATTGAAACAAAAACAAAACGTAGGATTTAATCACAAGCGTACGTAGTCACATGGTAGTCACATGGGAAGTCACATGGGTAATTTACATTTGGGATCTTTATAACACGCTATCCACTTCTGCCGTTGCTTTTCAACAAATGTTTTCTCACGACACATGGACGGGGCAAACTCATGGTCCGAAAAATGACGATAGCACATCAGGCCTGCAATTTACAAACAATTATATCAAAAAGACTACAAGACGAACTATTTTTTTGGTTGCGAAATTGTCATTGATTAATTCTTTAAATTATTTCTTGCCGACACACATATATATTTAGTTACTAACGAAAACATTGCTTGTGTATTTTATAAGACAAAAGTTTTGTTTGGACGAAATTATTTTATCACAGTGCGATTACCTTTGGACACTTTCATGTATTAACTGCCTACTGTGTACCATTATATATGTAGTGAATTAAAGACGATGCCATTTTTAACATAGCTTGTCCTTATATTTATGACGACTTACTTAATAAACCACCTTTAAACTGGTAAATACTGATGCTTTGAGTTTTTACAAAACCCTTTCGTAACACCGGCATTTTTTTTTATTATATATACATTTATCTAAATTTTAGCAAATCACTGATTTTTTTTTTTTTTTTTTTATTGAAACCGACTCCTAAACATATTCTACTTTTTAGCGGAAGGTGACATGTATTATGGATATCCTAATAAATATAGTGGTGGGGGTTATACAAACAGACATATTTCAGTCTTTAGAAATATATCTCTTAATTTATACAAGCTGCTCTTGCTTGAATCGATCATATATGTCAACTATGCATATAATTACATACATATAATGCATCAAATTGAAACGTATGATTTACGACAAGGAGCTGTTGGTTACAGCACAAGGAGGTTAAATGTAACTTTCATAAGATACATACAAATTAATCATAGGAAGGCATCATGAGCATTTAACCCTACATTAATCGATTAACCACTATGACTATTAAATTTATCAATGATGAAATTATCCTAATCCAAACTTTAATTAAACAATATTTAAAACATAAATGCTAGGTCGTGTAATGTTTGACTTTTACAATGACATCAGAACGTTGACCCCTGTCCTTACCTTGGTCCTTGTCGCACTGACAGAACTCCCCACAGTGTTCCCCGTGCTGGGCTAGGAGTGGCACGCACGTACCGTTGTGGTTATCAAGGAACGGACCTGCACATAAAAAACTCGAAGATAAGATATAAACGTGTAAATTGACAAGGAAACGTTCATTGTCAAAACATTGTAACCACATACAATCGAAAAAGTGGAAAGATGTGATCACTTCAAACAAGAAGCGACACTAACTACGGCATATTTATTATCTAACAGACGTTTTATAGTATCATGTCATAACGTATACATACAAAGAGTTTACAGGACTATGACTATAACATGACTCATGAAGTTATTTATAATATATCACCAGTTACCATCGCATTATATACCAAGTCTTGACATATGACTAAAACAAAAATTTAACGCAGCTTCAAATTCTCGTAAAAGCTCTTCTACAAGCATTTGTATGTTGAAGTATGCAGAAAGTACTGGATACTAAGCTTATTGGTCGGTAGGACTACCTATCTAGAGAATATTGATATACGGAACAGACTCTTGAGCATGGAGAAGTAAGATAACTGTGACATGTAAAATTCATAAGCTTGGTAGACTGGTATGTTGCTGCTTAGGAGGGTTAATGAACGTGATATTAACATATTAGCGATTGTTAGTGGTATGACCATCATTGTCTATTGTCACCCTAAGATAACTGTCAATATAGTACCACAGAAGAGCAGTCAAACTTGGTGTCACCGGTCTCCATGTTATTGTTTTCTTACGTTCAATACTTTGACCTAGTGTTATGAATTTTGAGTTCGAATTAAAGCTTTATTGGCACTACATGTATCTCTGTGGGTTTTTTTCTCTCTCAAGGATATTTGTAGATTTTAGTGTCTGTAGACATTTGACATACGTAGTAAGTCTACATTGTCATGTCAATTATCTGCTGAAATATACTTCCGAAAACATCGCTTTCTTTTGGGTTTAAAGATATTTCATTTCTGTAGACAACACAATATTTGTATCGGGGTGTTCTTTATTAAGAGTAGCAAGGATTCTTTAGTCAAGTGTGTGCAGACTTTTGACCTATTGACACGGAATGCTCTTACTTATACTCCAATATGCTTAATATATGCAAAAGTCTGGGTTATACAGATACTTGGTGGTCTAGTAGTTAACTTACCGACGGCGTCAAACGTTCCAGAGAGCGTGATCAACTGTCCGTCTATTTCCCGACAGCACGCGTCCAGGGGACAGTCTGATGAAGTGTGGCAGGGGGTGTCTTGAACCACGTACAAATGGGAGGCATGTACCTACAGGGACAATTATACCAAAACCTATCATTGCATCTACAGAGACACGCACTGGTAATGATAATTAAAGGGGTAAAACTCAATAAGTGGTAAAACGAGTCAAAATGACATCATCATATTTTCAAAACGTGCTTGAATTTAACGTATTAAATCAGTTATTGTATTGGTGATATTTTTAAACATCATCAAATCCTAATTTAAAAAGAAGACATTATATAAAAACCATAAATGGCTCATTATATTGTAATTGACCATGTCTCTATTTGCAGCTTCAAAATAAACAATGAAAGTCGTGTACATTATTTGTACGCTTTGCTTAGCATTCTCTTAAGTGAAGTAAAACATAATGAAAAACATTGAAAGGTTACTGCATGACATTCAAAGACTCCCGTGAAATAGTATTTTGAATTAAAGTCATCGAAACGTCAAACATATAAACAGGTTAACGAGTTGTGCTATATGAACCCCGTGTAAACAAATAAATATGTATTCGTGACATTTCAGTATTACAATACACCAAAACAGTGTACGTCATTGTTATATATTCGTTCGATGTATTCTGTAATGTTATCGGTCACATGTCAGATTGTGATACTTACAGTTACTATAGCAGCTAGAAGTGTCACCTAGAAATGAGACAAAGAGAGAAGCGATTAGAATATATCATCGAATTCTGTTTGCAGTTTAACAATTTCATGTTGGATGATTTTAACATTTTTAAAACCATATTATTACATTAAAATGTATGTATGGAATGAATGTTGTAACACTAACAATGTAGGAATTCGTCACCGAAGCCGTGCGGGACATCTATCATCATGTCACTGTCTCATTTGAATTAATCATCCTTATTTGAATTAAAATGTGCATCACTTTTTACTTATCTCACACGTGGTTATCAAAATAATTAATACATTAAAACAGCACGGGGTATATAATAAGAAGTGAAGAATTTATGTTATGCGAGAATCGGACTAACCTGACAATTCAGGACGTTAACTTGCATGTGCACTTGTCTATTTTCCCAGTATAGCTCTATGCAGTTCATTTGACAAAGGTGTTTTGGATTCGAATGTATGGTGAAACAATACATGACTGTCAATTACCATATTTTCGCGTGTCCTTTATATTCGCGAATGTTTTAATTGAGAGGATGCTATATCTTTATTGATACATTTTACCGGGAAACTTTCACCAAGTGTGTATTTTAACCCTCACATTAAATTACCATGTATATTATGCTGTTTACGAATATTCGCTGTAATGATAAATTCGTCCTCATATTACTATTGGCGAAAAAGGCGAAAGTCAATGTGCGGCGAGAGTTTCTCTGTATATTGTAGTATTTTAAAATTTAAAAGCAAAGATTAGCTCGAATTTGTTTAAACAGGTAAAGTGAAGAGGGTTCCTTTAATAGACTTTCTAAAACTATGTGGTATTCGATGTGAAAACACATATATGATATCAACAAGAAAAAAATGGTCTATTCGTTTTCAAACTGGAAAATGTTGATATCGCAGAACCATGCATTTCGTTAAATGTACGGTTAGAAGATGAGTTACAGAGCCTTTCAAGACCAGTGTACACAAAAATGAGTTACTCTAATAAAAACGTTCTTTATGAAACCGTAGTTAATAGAACCGTAGTTAATAGATCCGTTCTTAATAGAACCGTACTTAATAAAACCGTACTTAATAGAACCGTTCTTAATAAAACGTACTTAATAGAACCAAGCAATTGTCCTTTCGAATAATACTATTGCCCGTCAATAAATAATGAACGAAACATGAGTATTCACCACCACGAAATGATAAATATCCATTTTAAATGTTTTTCATAACGGGGCACATCTTCGAAATTTCAACTTCCGTTTTCTGCGCCTCTGGAATACTTTATGACAAAATCGAAGGCACGCGAGCGGTAAGCTTGATAGGTTTCAAGTAAACAACACTGACTAATTGCGAGGCTGATGCCTGTTATTTGAAGAGGAGCGAGGCTCGATTTAAAAGCTGTCAATATCACCGTTACACTTCCACGCATTAGATTTGATGTAAAGGAAAGGATCAAACTAGACCTACTTATAGCGTTCCCAAAGGCCTTCGATTTCGTAGGTAACCCTAACCCTAACCCTAACCCTAAGGGGTGAAGAGAAAGAACTAAACCGTTACCCCTTGAATTTTAAGTATGAAACTAAACAAATTCTCATCAAGGACTAATCAACAAGCAATGACAGTCGCCATGAAACAAATATTGCTCTAACAACACCGAATTAAGAAGTGCTTTCATCATCATTTTAGCCTGTTAAGCAAATTAGAACCGTTTTTCGTCAAGATATAACCTTTATGCACCAAAACATTATGAATTAAACATAGTGTTTATATATCAACAATGTGTAACGGTCAACTGAATGACAGAACATTTGAAGATGTAGATGTAGACATCAATCAGTACATGGTAATATGAACATTATCATTCATGAAAGGAGTGTTTAAAAATTATAATGACACGTTTATATTTTGCATGTTATTGTTTAAAAATGTATTTATGCACACTTACGTAAGTAATTAAGTATAAACATGATGTTTAAGCATTGATTAAACCACCAAGACACAGAAACGTAATGCATTTGTAATTGATTTAATGCTCGTGACACAAACAATGATGTCAATGCACTCATCATTATTACCACGCCCTCACAGCATGTTTTAATATAGTAATGCTGACATTTGTGAGGACCCAAATATAAAAATAAATAAATCAGAACCTTACTCGTGTCTTTACATTAATGCTGAACCATAGGGACCTGGGAATTTGTTGCATGTATATTGGAACATAAACAAAGGTGTTCAGAGTAATTTTCAAGGTTTTAGGGGTTAAGATCAACGTTCGATAAAACTGCCAACCCCAAGTGAGCTCATATATATCATCATTTGGATTGGCAGTTTTACCGAGAAATTATTTTAAGCCCTTCAACGTGTAAAATAACTCTGAACACCTTAGATTAGGTCCATATGTAGCTAAAACGAATTCCCAGGTCCCTGCGTGCTGAACATGTTATACCTGAAGTGTAAAAAGTTCATAATGGTGTAGCTTTATTGTGAGGCAATCTACTCATCTCTGTGGTAATTAGTCAGCAAGAGCAGCGTGTTTGCTATATGATTCCTTAACTTAACACACCATAAACAAGTCTATAGCATACGTAGACGCCCTACTTTTGGATTCTGGCGGACAGTCACCAACATCATTTTTACTAAATAAAACTAAAACTAAGTTAACGTCTTTTCTACGACAGCATCATAATGTACATTTGTACATCTGGCCGCGGCCTATCCTACTTTTTGATGTGTGCCCTTGTTTTAAAGGTGGGTCAGGAATATTTAATTAAATATATTAACCAACATCTACGACATGGCAGAAATTATAAAATGGAAGACAAAGTCCCATTTCTCACTTGCAAATTGATATGTACGGTAATGCTCAAACTTGAAATAAACTACATAGCATTACTGAATAATTACGTTTTAAAGGTGTCAGTATGAGTTGTTATTTTGTAGATATGAATCCCCGTACCACTACCAAAAACTTAACTTAGTGCTTGAATGACTATTGCTTTGATAAAAAAAAAACATGTTTGTGCTGCAAGTATGTCTTAATACGGAAGTTTAGAGGAGGTTACTTTATAACAGAAAAAAACAGTACAGTAGGACAGTGATCCTTAATCGCGATCAACATTCCTTGATATGTAAAGCGATACATTTATAAGTAAAATTATAGAGCCGGTTACAGCAATTTGAAACAGCATTTCGATGTCACGTCTACGCCATAGCGTCTTGTAATGACAAGTTTGTTTCCTCGTAGCTACGTTATACGCTTTGTCGTTTATTTTAAGTAGAATAAGCAGGCTGCATATTTGTAAACAAAACTATTACATAACAGTCATCATTCTAGGAATTTCTGAGGTATAATCCTTGCATTTACTATTCACCTTGTAAGATTTTGAGTAAATTGTTACCCATCATAAACTACAACTCTTACATTAACTGTTTAATTACAGTCGCTGAAGCCTAACTGACAGGTCCCAATTGTTCAAAAGGTGATCATCTTTAAAGTACAACCATCAATTGGTTTAAAATATCCCAGTAAATAAATGAGTAGAGTAATACTAAATGCAAAATTATGAAATTTTACCTTGTATATCGACCAAATTATTAGAGGTTGGAAAATGTCGTGAACAGTTATTAAACTTAACATCTTTTGAACAACTTTGCCGTTTCCTATGTTGGCCTTTATATATTTTCGCTGTCAACTTATAACTGGTATATTCCTTAAGGCGTATGTATCCGATATGATTTTCCATTTAAAATTTTTCTAAAACAATTAGAGATAAACTCAGGAATTTTCTTTTTCTTTATTCATAACAAATACAAAGCATTTATGGTTTCTCTACTTTCATTTATTGATAGAAATGTGGGACAAGATATTCACCACGATTTACACGGAGAAAACCAGAAGTAGCGCCGGAAGTAACACTGAAAGACCTGTCACAGATACGATACAGCCACTGAGTAAAAGGTTTGGTGTCAGATGTGGATATATACGGAGGGAAAGGGCAAATGTTACAGATATGCAATGAAACCAGTACAACACACTACAGTATCTAAGGTGAAGATGATAAATGTGGCATGTAATTCGTTTAAACTGTAAGAGATCTTTATGGATCCTTTAATGGCATAAATTAGCTATTAGTTTAAATTAAGTTCAAGGAAACAAAGATGATAAACCATTACTGTACAAATATGTGCCTTTTTTTAAACCGAGATTTATGTGAAGTCATAAAAAGGATCATAGCTCTAAGAACTATAAAGGAATAATCTATCGTAATAAACAGTAGTGTACCGGTGTCACAATCTGTCTGCTTTGTAGAGAACAAGTGATATATCCCGAGGAAATAAACGCCTGACAATGGTCTTAACCCGAAAGGTGACAAGACCCTGACACGAGCCTCGGGCGAAGTATACTATTCTGCGATATATACTACTAGTGGAGAGGTACAGTATACCTGGACATAGTTCTATGTGAACAGTTATATTATTGAACAACATATTTCCCCCCGTTAACAGATGACTTTTAAAATAATACATGTATAGTTATTGTTAAAATATTAACCATGCCCAATCCCAATATTCTCCATAGTAAAAATACATAATACACAATAATTAACTATTTACTTGGTGAAATGCTTAGATTTTACAAAAAAAGCACAGGTTAATATATATTATTATATTAATATCAAAGCATAATTAATTCACGAAGTAAAAAGTCTATAATTGTTCCATTTAATAAGTTTTTTAATCCTAAATTCTATATTTAGAATTATAATAATCGCCGAATTATTTCATCTTCTGACAAAGGTCTTCCAGTCAATTTGGAGCATTTATAAGTTATAAAATCAAATCAAATATATCTTTAATATCAATTATACTTGCATACACAATTTTACTTTATAGAATTTTGTTACCCGAGAACTTTATTCTTATACTTCTTAAATCAGTTCATTCTTATCCTACATCGACCACATCTTTAGAACTAGACGATATTATTCATTTCCTCTGTTACGTTATAGGTAACCAAAGGAATTCTACAAATGCATGTCACTATAAGATACCACACCTTTCCGACGATGTCAGTTTTGATATTAACACTTCAGCGACTGTCACATCGTCGGTCAGTCGGTCAGTTGGTATGGCCATCACTGTGCTATATAAACGTCAATGACTGTCACTCCGGGTTAAGGACAGTAAAACGATTACCTTCGGGACATATAACGTCATGTTGATATTCAAGGTTTCAACGAAACCAATAGAACGTTTATATAGTGATTTTGGAATTAATTGTGTGTATCGAACATTAACACAATGAACATTTCATTCTAAATCTTGGGTTTATTCTAAAACTTCATCTTTTATTTACTTCATCTAATATATTTTTATGTTTTCTTCCGTTTTCTTTTGTCCTTTTTTCAACTTTTCTCTAACATTGTCTTTCTTTGTTGTTTGTCATTTTTTTTTAATATTAATAATATCTGCTTTGATATCTAACATTGTCTTTCATTGTTGTTTTGGTATATATATGTATATATAAATTTACTTTTGTGTCAACTTTGCTGTCGGCTTTAATATCTTCATTGACGGTATGGTTTTTTTTGTTTACTTTTTTTATTCATAAATGAGAACCTTTGGGGTGATTAAGTACAAACAATGTATGTACAGTTCATGTCTTTACCACAAGACGCTCTTTTAAATGTCAATGTACAAGTATAAACCACTAATGTCTCTATATAACCTTTAGGTTTGAACACCACGACCGAACAGCCACCAAGAGCAAAGAATGTTCCAGACAATGTGAATGTATATTGCCATATAACGAACAAATATCCTTGGTAGTATATATGACTTTACGTGTTGGTATTCTACCAACAAAGCTGTGACGACCGTAAACTTGATATAACCACATTTATTACTGGTTAATTTCCCAGAAACTGTTAGGTTTATGTTGTCATAAAACAACAGTGTTGACTAGAAACACCCTTAAAGGACAGAAATAGGCCAGACATGACACCAATGTTAGGATATGTAATATTTAGGAAAGGTACTTTTCCACGAACAGTAGTTTTATCAATGAAATTTCATTGAAATCAGTGCAAAACGATCCATAGAAATAGTGTAAGGAAGAAACAGTTTTGAAACAAGACTCGCTAAATAATAATACTCCCTTACCCCCTTCAACTACCACCTTCCCTACTCCTGCATTTGTTAAGTTGTTCATAATACTTCATTCCCGTAGCTAGTGTTAAAATAATTGATTATGAAGCAGGTTACACATTTACATAAGTGTCATGACACTTGTTTTGTTGCCTTGTCTATTTCATATATTGTACTATACAATTTGTATTTCAATGTATTGTCGAGACATTTCAATAAAACAAAGTTGAATCCAACAAACGAACTTTTGGAAAATATAGCATTACAAAAAAGTGAGATCTTTTTATTTAACTGAACGTGTAACAGTAGGGTTATACAGGTATCAGGTCTCAATACTGACGTTGATGACGAAAGAACGTATTTCGAAAAAGAGATAAGCGAATTAAGTTCATTTGGAAATGCTTTACAGACATTGACAGCTTTTCTGAAATATAAAAAGTTTTCGTAGTAAAGTCAATATAGATACAGAGAGCAAAGGAGACCCGACGAAAAGGAAAGGAAAGGTCGGTCACCTCTCCGACAGCTGATTAATCTACTTTTATAATATATACTGGTTACTGATTGACAATGGATATTGTTTCATCTGACTGGACGCCAGCTGTTGCTAGCCTTTACCGCCCCCGTGTTAATCCGCTAGTTTAGATTCCGGAAAGGAAATGTCATAGTGTCACCGCCTTACAAGGTAAAGCGATTACGATGTGACAGGAATACATTTCAACACTGTAACCACAACGTGTGTTTCGGGGAGGGCGGCTCTTGTTACGGTCTTCACTGGAATCGACACTTCGTGCAAAAAAGTTCGCATTTTTATGCTCAGACCAACTTGTCGCAATATTTTCTAAACAAATGACAGCTTGAGGCTTATAACGATTTTGGCTTAGATGAACATTTTAAAAGTGAAATGTGTTAAAATGTTTTAATATATGCAGTGTTTTAAGATATATTGCATCGATAATCATATATATTGTATATCTTAAAAATAGTTAAGACAGCGTTATATTTTTATGATTATATCCTTATGGGATATCTGATATACATATAAGATACCTCATATATTATATACAATAATAAATTTGAATACAAAATGATAAAATAAATAAAAGAATTGATTATTTCATGTGATATCTACATTTCCCAGATATGTATCAGATATCTTAGATAATATATCAATTATCTTATAAAGCGATTAATATGTAACATTTTATAAGAATTGCGACACTGACAATTAAATCAATATTTTAAAATGACTGCTCATATCGTAACGTCACGTCCGGTTGCTAACCGGAAGGCGTTTAAAAAACATTATTTATGAAACATACATGTCTACCAATGCTTGAATGATATTAAATAAGAATAGCTAGCTTTCTTACAAAAACATTAGATACAGTCTAAAACATTGCTTCCTTTTTCATTTTCTACTTTTTTCCCAGAAGGATTTATTTTCTGTGAAAGCATTTGCGACTAACATACGATATTTGATCAAGAAACTTATATCAGATATTTATGTATGTAGCAAAAGATATCTTATTTACTTTGTGGGATATCTTCAACAAATATTTATTAGTTTTTAATATATATTACTCCAAGATATAGGCTATATCATATGAAAAATATCAAATGAGATATTTAGTTACGTGAAACAAAAATAATAAATATGTGATAATGTGTATACTATATCCTACTCATTTAAATAAGGATCAGCTTGCTACACGGTACTACTTGACAAAGAACATGCAACGTAGATACATGATATGGATACAGCCACTAAGCTCGAAAGTTCGTCGCAGTGTAGCGGTACACGGAACATGCAATCTTACTATTCCTTTATTGTTATCTTTTCCTGAGAACTGTGATAAGTACACACCCAGTGGTTGTGTGTTTCTTTGTATATAATAGATATGCGTATTTCACTAACTAAAGATTTTCCAATCATGCACTTTCCCTTTCTGGACAGTAACATCCCTACTTCCTCTACCTACACGTTGCCGTTAATTTGGTATTCAAAATTTGCTCAAATGATTTCCGTGATAGATATTGACTGTTGACGGACAAACTTACAACATATGGTTTTCAGAGATACAGGTTCATAAAGACTAGGTTAAATGGTCACCATCATAATCTCATTAGGATATATGCTATTTCTTTGTTTGATATGATTGTATATGGTTTCCAGTTTGGTCTTATTTAAAATATCTTTTCTGCCAAGGGTCTCCATGGAAATCTTTCCTTTTTTTCTATTTTTTTTTTTAATTTCTACTGACACCTAAAAAGATAAATTTGTTTCTATTATTGCAATGCCTAAGTTATTTCATAATATCTCTTTGATAATCAGATCTTTGTAAACAATTTGAGTAATGGTACAAAGCAACCTCTAACGACTACAGTTTTGAAATATCAAAGGTTAACACGTATCTCTAATCGATAGCACTTTGTAATTGTCCTCTGTATGTTTATTGTAAAAATGGCATACAGTGCATACATACACTCCTTTGAAAGGTCATGTAGTTTTAAAACGCATAGACCAATCCCACCACAACATGAGCATAACGCACTTGAAAACCGTAACACAAAATTAAAGCCATGTTCTACCTTTTGCATTAGTAACAGCCCCGTCACATGCATCGTGAAATTAGACACATGTCTTGTTAATGAGGCCACTACGACCCTGACTTAGCATGTTTATTGCTAATCTAGACAACGGGATTCTCCAATGAACTTATATATCACGCGGGCATGGTAACATTGGTAAATGTTATTTGTATGTTATAATACTGGGAGATGAGAATTATTAATAAATCTATGTACTTACAGCATTATATTTATTAACTTTAAGTGACAATCTATTATGATAACTTAGTAGAGATATTATTTCCTTTGCTTTTATAGAAAACACACATATGCTATAAAGTATATTATAAAGTATACTAACAAGTAACAAGAGTAACGATGTCTGCTGGAATGATTGTCAATAATATTTACCACTGTGTTGATAAAAAAAAAGAGTAGATCTTGGCCTACGAACTTTATTCCTAAACAATCATGTGCATTGAAGCGTCACAATGGCAAACCAAATATGTCCGGTCAAGATTTGATTGATCAACCTATTAAGCATTAACGATTACGGATGTTTGATGTGTCGTAAGGCGCGGATCTGTCGTGTGTTTGGATAGCCGATCCATCCAAGAGTTTTTGCGGTTCGTCACAGATTTAAAATCTGCTTATGCCTATAGTACTTTCGGCAGAAAATGAACGAAGGTGATGTTAATCACAATAGTTAAAAAGTAAAAGTAATACAAATGTAAGCATATTAAGAAGCTTTTGATCATACTGAATATAGTGTCTGACTTAAAGAATAGAAATAATACTATTTTCTTGAAACAAAATATATCAACGATTATTATGTTAACATAATAATGAGTCTAATTACTGTAATGTATAATTAAGTAATAAAATGTATGAATTCTGTTATCAATAATGTTCGTATAGATTGCATGAAACAGTGTGCTGTATTTACCATTTGTGTTGGTGCATGGGTATACGTTATTTGCATCGGCGACAATCCTCAAACATGCATATATTAAAAACATTTAAGTCACGCAACTCACCAGTAACAATCCGCAAGGATGATCCATCGTCAATTAGGCTCAGGTTAACAAATTAGGGTTATCCAAAAAGTAATTAGGAACTCTATATCAAAAATGTTTTGACTGGCTACCATTCCAAACAGCGATAACCTCCGGAGCCGGCAGACGGAGAGCTATGAGACGGAACGTGACGGGTCCGGCAGGTATCTAACGCTACGCTGCACACCTGTCTGCATACGTAGGAAGGTGTTCAAACGTAACCAATAAAACGGTCGCTGTACAGGTAAGTCCACTAGGTACCTGTCCCTTTTTGCAGGTGAGAGGCACAATACAATCACTCAGGCCTATCCAGTTAATGTATTTATGGGTGAACATGTATAATATATGTGGTTTGTTATATAGTTTGACAGGAGAAATCACTCATGTGTGACCAGCAATTTCTGCTGACCATGTAATGTTAAAGTGACGTGGGTACATATGTTTGCCGTCATCTCGTCTCATCCTTTCTCTGACAGCCCATCATTATGCTAAGTGGCGGTCTCTATTGTCATGAATTCTTTGAAATAATGTTTCTGATGATTAATTCAATTTTTATTTACAATTAATTTCTCTCGTCTGTATAAATATCTTCTTTTTTTTTCAATTTAAAACAAAAGATAAAATACGGTTAATTTATTCGGCATTATCTTTTGAATGGGGTTTATTCGAATTAATTATTTATAACGTTCAAAGTAAACCAACATAAAATTATTTAAAATAGGAAAACAACGCTTTGATTTAAATTGAACACTATTAAGCGTATGGTTTACATTGTATTCGGCTGGAATTCAGTAAAAGATATTATATATTTAATGTCATACAGGCCGGTATAAGTTTATGTTTTTTTTTAAAACTTAATATAACGTAAATAATATGCAAATAAAGATAAAATAAAATCACACCATCGTCACTTTTTCAACGTAACCATATAGACATATATATATTGTGTTTAATGCGTAATTAATAAAATCTTTTACCTGTAACTCAGCGAGATCGGGTTATCTCAGTCGAGGGTTAAGATTCTGTAACAAAATCACAACCGAGGCGTAAGCCGAGGTTGGGATGTTACAGATTCTTAGCCCGAGACTGAGATAACCCGATCTCGCTCAGTTACAGGTTATTGATTTTTTTTCTCGCACCTTTTAGTTCGAAAAGAACTATTCAATTTTGCTTAAAACTACAAGTATCCCGCCTTGGGCATCAACTGATAATGACCTCTTCACTACTAAAGCTACATTTGAATGCTTCCGCGTAAAAATGTAGTCCGTCCTTACATAGATTACAACGTATTTCACAGTGTAGATTATATTTTATTTACAACATCAAATACCTAACAACATCAAATTTATACATATAACGAGAAAACAGAACATTTATAATGCAAATTGTCAATTCCAAACAGTTAACGCGCGGATGAATACATCGCAGTGTAAAAATTCTGCGAAATGTCACGTAAAGATACAAGACAGATAGGACGAGATAGAAAAATATAGCATGGGGTATAACATAGGATATCTGTCTGAGGTGCGAGAATACAACATCACAATTGATTAAAATGACTTATAAGAAACATATGGTCAGCGAAACCGTAAAATACCCAACATTTCAAAATTAAGGAGAACTCTTTTATTATAGTTCTCAAATATGCAAGTGTTAAACAAGTCTAGATATTTCTAATTTTACGTGTACAAAACCTAATGTAACGGAAATTATCAAAATGGCAAAACGTTCTAATGGATCTATGTATTTGAACACCAAATATACACCACTATAAAGTGTATATGGACGGATCTATGTACGGTAAATATAAATGATTAGTGGACGACTTGGTTACAACAATACAGCTAATTTTAAGGCTTTTTATTTATATAGAGGAACATGATTGTTGAATACTAAAGTAAAAATCACTGAACTTTGTTCTTTGCCCTGGTGGAACGTAAGAATGAATTAAATATAAGTTCAAACGCTAATTAGTAACATTAAAACCAAAACAAAGACAGTAATACATATATTCATAAATTTAGATTTGTAAATATGAATTGGAAATATCTGCAGGAACAGATATACAATCCAATATTAAGGATGGGATCTGCTTCATTACAGATAAAACCTTAATAGTAAAATAGGTAAATACATAGAAATTTAATTTAATTTAAAAACAGCAAACCAAATCAAATGTTTCAATCAATCAATCACTCAGTCAATTAAAAAAATGAACTAATGATGGTTATACTATCAACATGCTACATTTGCATGCTCTTAAAATATGTACGTTTATTAATAAACGGAATATACAATCTTTTTCTTTCATTTTAACTTTTATAAAGATATTTACATTTTAAAAGCATAAACATCACATATCAGAATAATTATTTCAAAATTAACCAGTTTCATAAAAGGTAAAATATTTTCATGTTTTGAGTGTGTATGAAAAACAATATTTATATCTATATGTGCATAAATTCTGATTGATATATAATTGATGTATCTGACATGGGATTTGCTATATAAATTATCTATATGACAAAATGACTACATCAGGTTTTATATATACACACACATTATCATTTAATGATATACTTAAAGGAAACTTGTCACATAACTCATATTTTATAAACTTAATCTGTAAAATACTTTGATCTCTCGAACAGCTTTTCACATAGGTAAATAAACACGAACATCGTGATGGCTCCTGTTCCATAACTAAGGCACTGTAAATGTTATATAGCTTCTCCTTCCAAATTCGGGCTTTTCGCTTTTTAATGGAAAAAGTAAAGATATGCTAACATACCGCCAATGGGTTACTTAAGCGGGCTTAAATTTTCGCGATTTTGACCAAAAATGAGAAAATTAAATTTATGGATCATAATTTCGCGATCTAGACATGTTACAGTTGCAGTGTGTTAGCACAGAGACGGGCCAATCGGCATATAGTGTCATATAGTCAAATGAATACTCTTTATTACAGAATACTGAGTATCAACGACAAGTAAGTGTATTGTGTTCAATTAATCATCAACAAAACTATTATAAGTGTGATATGACCCATTTTACCCTTTATGTATATGCAAAGTCACAACCACATGTGCGCTATTTATTGATGACATTACGGTAATGGAGTGTATAATCGCGACTCATTTTGAAACTTGTCATAATATTCTGCGGATCATATTTTTGCGATTACGTTTTTGACCCGAGAAATCCCGAATATATCATCCCCGTAGATATAGCCTGCTACACGGTATATTTAATAAAGGTATATAATATTACTTTCGGAAACTGCATTTGCTGTACACAATTTTACTGAATGACACTGTACCAATTCAAATGGCATCTCTGAAAGTCGCAAAATATGATATGTAATAGAATAAGGCACAAAACAAGTGAAACCGAAAATCAACCTGGTTAATTATGTATCCATGATTAATTGTTTCATCCAACAATTTAAAAATCCCACAACTTGTCTTTTAAGAATTCTACCAGTGAATGTTTTCTGTTCTGAGTTACATCGATACTTGCAGTATTCCTCCTATGTTAAGCATTTGAAGTAAACGGGGAGACAAGTTGTAAACTTAGACTAGAACAAACAAAAAAGAAGGTACCAGTATCAGGGATCAAAATAGTGCGGGAAGCGCTTACTCTTCAGACACGCCTGGTTTCTAATGATATTGTTTATGAAGGGTAAGCGTTTTCGTACCACATCTGGCACTCTATCATCAATACCAGGAAACTAACGATCTAAAACTCAGGTAAAAGGGGCTTCTCTATAATAATACACAGAACAAAGTGATTACCCAAACCATTTTCTCGTCTGCCGAAAGAATTCCCGGGTCAGCTGCTGAACAACCTTTAAATTTTATCACTAGACAAGCAGCTATCCATTTGAAATATGCAATCCATATTAGAGTATAATAACCTAAATTTGTGACAACTATAATGCCGGTTTAAAACCACATAAATGTGTATTTACATCTCATGCTTCGTCATTCTATAACGCTTTCGTAAGTATTGGGTTAATTGTTCGCTGGTTTGGGGTTTTGGGCAAAAGTCACCTCTTACTGAATATCATTACCTGGATGTGTTAGAAGAATACCAATCTCGGTTATATCTAGGCTGATAAAGGGCTTACCAGAGGTCTTGAATAAAATTCATCAGTTTGGAAATATATGATATCAAGTTTTACTTCATACACCAACACGTGTCGCAACTTATCAAGACCGACTGGTCCCTTTTACAAGGTAAGACTGAGTGAGCAATTTGTATTGTTTACCTGTACAACGATGTGACGAAATTGTATATTTTACATGTCACTCGAACCGAAGGTACCTAGAAAGCAATGAGTCAAGCAATAAGTGTCTGTCTATTTTTAAACAGGTTAAACTACATGGTCAGGACATATGAGATCATTCATTACATTAAATGCGTTGAAGCAACGTGCGCTTCATTTGATGGCCGCCATTTGCATATCACAATTGCAATGTTTATCATTAAACCAAGATGATGGTAATATTTCATAATCGTTTACTCGTATTGCAGTTAGGTACTGAACACCGTACAACTCCTTCGTTCGTATCAGAACATTTAAGTTTGTTCATGAAACATTAAAAAAATGATATATTAACATACGAACCATCCCTAGTAGTTAATATACTGTGAAATCACTAATTTTCGAGGGGTTCATAATTTCATTGATTTCGTTGGTAAACTTCATTATAGGTCATGAGTCATAGGTAAAAGAGGCAATTACAAGTTTGACCAAAATCAGTTCTCTGTTTGAGTGAGTACTCGTTATCCATGAATTCATGCACCAACCAAATGTTGCTTTGTCGGGAAACCATAAAATTTGGTCCCATTATTAAAATGCCTGACTTCACAGTAATAACCCAATAAGTCATTCTATAACCTACAAGAGCTATCTTTTGCCGTTCAACTTTCACTTAATAATGCTAGAAAGAGGACTCTGTCTATGACAAATATAAGCCGTTGCGTAGGCAGTTTTTCGTCAATATTAACCATGATATGAGACATCAAGACGAAAGATGCTAACAGTCTATCAATTCAGTCAAATATTCACGATTTTTTTTTAAATCCATTATTATCAAAAAGCATCACTAGTTACTCAGTTATACGGTAGTTGACTATAGAAATAAAAACACAATTCAAAAAAGTTTATGAAAAATACAATAAAAAGGGGGAAAAAAAGAAAGAAAAAACATTGTATTGAGAGATTTAAAAATATTCTTACATGGATTTGGTAAAGTATA